TACCTAGTCTGTTGTAAGGATGCTTCCTCGTTGGTTGTGCACTGTTTAATCATATTATATCTTGTTGACACAGCTGTATTAGTAAGTTGCCGAGTGAATTTTGAAAAGATGAGATGATATTAATGTGAAATCCTACTTCCCATTGTCTTATTGATGTGTCCATTATTGCTTGGTTTGGAGTAACATTTCAATTTTTGCATGAGCAACTGACTTTTGAGACTCCCTGTTGTATTTGAGACCTATACAGTTATCTGATATCTATTGTTGAAATATGCTATTTAATATCAGTAAAAGTTTTCTTTGATATTTTCAATTATGAATTTAGTTCTTTTGTGATTTGATCCTTTATAGATAGTTCATTTCCGATCACTGGAGAAGCCCAAGGAGGATGATTTTTGTCTAGAGTTGTAAGCACTTGTATATTAAACAGTGTTTTGCCTCATTTAAAAAACCTTAGTGCTGTAGATACTCATAATCTAGCCTTGATGATTTTCAAGGTCGAAGCTACATACATATGATGACGTTGTGGAAAGAGTAGCTCGCCAAATTGGTTTAGATGATCCTTCCAAAATTAGGTTAACATCTCACAACTGCTATTCTCAGCAGCCTAAGCCCCAACCAATTAAATATCGAGGAGTGGAGCATTTGTCAGATATGTTAGTTCACTACAATCAGGTAGTCCCCATTGACTAGTGAAATTACTGTCTTGCTCCGATAATGTAATATCACATAGCCTATAATGTTGGTGTTTTTCCCCTTTTCACAGACCTCTGATATTTTGTATTATGAAGTTCTGGACATTCCTCTTCCTGAATTGCAAGGTCTAAAAAATCTGAAAGTTGCTTTCCATCATGCTACTAAAGATGAGGTAAATTATTGGTACTGCCTTTTTCTGGGGCTTCTTTTAGAATTATTTTTGATCTGGCAGCAACCATTTGCAGGTTGTAATTCATAATATTAGATTACCGAAACAGAGCACTGTGGGGGATGTGATTAATGAACTGAAAACAAAGGTAAGACCTTTCTCTCTACAGCTTTGCATTATTTGTGCTGATTTTGATCTAGAAAGTGCTCTATAATATAGAAAATCACATTACCTCAATCATTGCTGACAAGTTTTGTTAGTTCTCAAAATAGTGGGTTCGTAGACGTTTCCACTATATAGGATTATACCTTTGACTGGATATCTTTCTTGTATATTCCTCCTAATGATGTATAGTTGCCTTAATAAAAATATCTAACTGTATTTCCTTTGAAACAGGTGGAGTTATCTCATCCAAATGCAGAACTTCGACTTCTTGAAGTTTTCTACCACAAAATTTATAAGGTAGTGACCTAGTTACCGAGGTTTGGCTGCTACTAGAAAACAGTTATCTTTCCTCATTTAACAATTGCTGGACGATTCGCAATATGTAATGGTGCTTCAATAATGTTTGCTTTTGGTGATAATATATGTTATTGATAAGGAATTTCAATTTCTTTCTTTTAATAATAATATTTTTAATGTGCTCTTCCACCTTTATTCATAACTTGTCTACTCTGTTATCGTACTTGTGCAGATCTTTCCTCCCAATGAAAAAATTGAGAATATAAATGACCAGTATTGGACATTGCGTGCAGAGGAGGCAAGATCCTTTTTCCATGTTTCTTGTGTTCTTACAAACTTACAGTTATATTCTTGAATGTGTCTATGTGTTACTGTCAATCTCCCTTGATCCACTAAATATATTCTATAGGATCATTAGATACTGATGCAAGTTTAAACTTAGACATAGGGGATGGATATGTAAGCCTGCGTGTGCTTGTGTTAGTGATAGATATAGGTGTGAGTTAGAATGGCCCTTGAACTAAGCACAAGCACATGTGCATTGAGGGAGAGAGAATTTTGAGATATTGCGTTTGGAGGTGCTTGTCAAATAGAATTGTAATACTTGTACTTCAATGCATTTATAAAGTATGTTGATGCATTACAAACATTAGTTGATGATTGAGGTCTGATACCCTATGTAACTTGGCACATATTTTGCTGGCTGGGCCTGTTGAATGAAATAGAAACCATGGTGCTCTACTAAGCCTGTAAAGCGTACGACTTATCCAATTTACTATGAGCTGCAAAATGTTTTCAAGATCATTAATGACTTTTGCTGGTCGACTCAATTTTTCTCAGATAGAGTTAAGATTTTTATCTTCGCAGTAGCATGTATCATTTTTAAACTTAACTGACTAATATCAAATGCCAATTGACTTTAGTGTCTGTCTAGCAGCAAAGGTTGACATGGAGGAGAGATCCTTTGTTAATTGCTTATGTACTAGGATGCTTAAGCAAATGCATAATGAAATGTTTATTGCAGTGGTCTTGCTTTAAGCTAATATCTTCTTCCTTTATCTCTCTTGCTCTGCACAGATCCCAGAAGAAGAGAAGAATCTTGGGCCCCACGATCGTTTGATTCATGTTTATCATTTCACAAAGGAGACCGCGCAGAATCAAATGGTATTGGAGCATTTATAGACTGATTACCCTATACCTGTTACTAGCCATTTGGTTGCTACAAAATGGTTGCTAAATTGCATGACCTTTTCATTTCTCATGTGCTATTACCTTTTGTCTCCTCAACAGCAAGTACAGAATTTTGGAGAGCCATTTTTCTTGGTTATTCATGAAGGTGAAACCTTAGCTGAAGTTAAAGTGCGGATACAGAAAAAATTGCTGGTTCCTGATGAGGAATTTGCTAAGGTATCTTAAAAAATATGAACTCTTCCTATCTTGCATAATTAAGAAATGAATATGCACTTGTAAAGCATGGGAAAGAGGATAACCATTGAGACCAGGCGTGCCTGTCATTCTTGCTTGGCAGCTCATTAATTATTGTGCATTGATTTGTTAAGTTTTTTTGTTCTTTTAGTTTGGTGCACGTCTTTCAATTACTAACTTGGTTTCTATCACCTTTGTTGGTCAGTGGAAATTTGCATTCCTGTCTCTTGGCCGTCCAGAGTATCTGCAGGATTCTGACATAGTGTTCACCCGTTTTCAGGTGCTGCTATGAGCATTTCTTCCAACACACTGATTATTAAATTGATATTTATTTATTTATTTTTTTTTAAAAATAATTCAGAGAAGAGATGTTTATGGTGCTTGGGAACAGTACCTTGGGTTGGAGCATTCTGATAATACGCCTAAGAGGTCTTATGCGGTAAACCAGGTATGTTTTGCTTCCATGCTGCTTAATGCATGTCAGAGTTATTGAGAATAACAAGATTACCCGTTGTATTTTACAGCCATTTGTTTAGCAACAACAGAAACTTGAGTCCATTACAGGAAATGGTGCAAGTTATCATGTGGCTGATTTATTGTAATGTATTGTTTTGGTTTGAAAATATTGCAGAACCGTCATACGTTTGAGAAGCCGGTTAAAATATACAATTAGGCAAGAGCTGATGATCCTCCACCTGCACAATTTATTGTGTATTATGGAAATGCTCGTAATTGAATCGAAGAGAAGAAAGGAAAGGAAACAAATGAAGCTCAAAAGTAAAGTGAGATGTGGTTCCTGTAGGATATATGTTTCCCTTTTTCTTTTTTTATTTTTTTTATTTTTTTAAGATATGCAGGAAGGTGGGGAATGGGAATGGGAAGGGGAGAGGCTGTGATCTCGCATATGTAGTGTGGTATTATGAATTGATGAGCTCCTCTCCTTTGCTTTACCACCTAAGTGAAAGAGAGAGAGAGAGAGAGGGAGGGTACCTCCTTGCTTTTAGAGATTGGTGGTTTACCATTATACAACTCCTCCAGTGTAATTTAGCAAAGTACATAACAGGATTTTGACTAGGGGATGTATACCGGGTATAGTTGGTTGCATTTGACAATTTCAATTCTTGTCCTTATTTTTTTCTTGTCGCCAGTTTTCTCGGGGATCGGCTTGTAAAATTATTGGTTGAATTTACGCTTCTGGGCTTTAGGATTCATGTAAAAGAATTGTAATGCTTTACAGTCCAGAATTGGTTTTTGTAGCACTTCCCTCTGCTCTTTCCTACTACTAGTCTTTTGCTTGTCCCTTAATGTGTATTTTTTGCAAGTGTATGTTCTGGTTAATAGCTTCAGGTGTTTTCTGCAATTTCCCTAAACATAATATTGCTTTAGCCAAATTATATGAATTTGTTCCAACACTTCTTTGATTTTGTAGTATCGCTTTCTTGATCAATTTCTATGATGCTTTCTTGATGAAATCTGATAAAGAGATGATAATTTATAATTTGCGACAACCGTATATATTTATATTTGAAGTATAAATATAAATTGATTTTATATTTGATTGATGATTATATAAAATAAAATTCTAAAATCAAATTAATATGCTATTTTGTTTTATCATGTCAAATCCTATAAAATTGGATTTGTGACATTTAATATATATTGAGAATAAATTATTTATCTTTATATGTGGATATCATGTTTCTTGAAGACACAATAAAGAAGAAAATCAAGGAATCTGTCGAAATTGCACTAAAGAAATAATTTTCTTCCCCTAGATATTTAACAATTAAATATCCACTTATTTTATTCATGGAACGAGAATAATATTTTGTACTTTTGAATATGCCCCTGCAGCAATATTATCAAAAAAAAATTAAGCATTTAATTTACATAATAAGATTTGTTTCATAAGCATTTAATTTACATAATAAGATTTGTTTTCATTCCTTGAAGTAAATGAATTAGTATATCACAGTACTGGGTACAAACAAAAAATAATGACATTTATAATCATGATATAAAAGATGTCACAACATAAAATCTACTCAATTAAATTTATTTTATCCCTGAAGTGAATGCTGTAACATATAATGTGAAATGTGAGTGTGAATAAGTGGCAAGAGATAATATGCCATGTTGATTATGTACTCATTAATGCCAAAATATATGAAAGTATATAAAAGTCCTTGAAGGATTTAAAATGCCTAAAGCATATAAAGATCAATCTGATAAAGGAAGATTACATAAATGATCTAATTTGTCCATGTATTTTTATAAAAAGGTCAATATCTAAATTTGTTGTTATTGCTGTGTACGTTGATAATATAAATCTCATTGGATTTTAGCAGAGTTCCAAAATGTAATGAAGTACTCAATGGAGAAATTTGAGATGAAAGAATTTGAATATATAAAGCTATTTTTTCCTGTCTTATCTCATCGACAAAACCTTGTAGGAAATCAAACCATCGATTGTCTCAACCACCAACCGATTCATTCGCATCAGCAGCAGCAAATAAGTTCTTGCCTTAGGCCCTACAATAACCACCAAATATTGTTTCTGTGAAAAATTATTATTATTATTATTTTAATAGTAACGGGTCTATTCCCAAATGAAGAGATGCTCCTTAATTTGATATTAAAATTTTCGTTTTTTTTTTAAAAAAAAAATTCTATTATGCTATAATTAACACACAATATAAGATAAATTATATATTAAAGTCCAACTGGACGTCAACTTGACTAATTTTGAAACCTAAACCTTAGGCCATTTTTAATTATTTTTTGAAAATATTGCATACCAAGGCATTGGCCTGTTGATAAGTGCATACGTAGCTTGACAATAGTTCTAGATTCGAATTCCCCTCCTCCAATACTCAAAAAGAAAAAAAAAATTTTTTTTGAAAATATTAATAACAGCTGATATTATACATACCCAGTCCCAACGATGCAATTTCATCTTGCTGGAAATGGCTACTTCCCTTGGTCTTCTCCTTCTCTCTCAGGCTTGAGTTAATTTTCTCAACAGCAGCTACCAAATCCTGCAATATAAAGCAAAAGATTACGCAAAAACTTGGTTGGTTGTCAACCCAATGTCTTATAGAGTCAAATAAAAAGGGATCTCAGCTGAAAAACAAAACTTCTTTCGCCAAGCAAATAGTACTTCAGCCAAAATATGTTGAAAAAATATGTAATACACAAATCAAAAACTAAAAAAATGCAATTGAGACAAGCTCATGGAAAATGTAATACCAGAAGAAGTTCTCTTCAGTGATCCACAAAACCCAGCTTTTTCAATAAGGTACCCTCTCTCTTTTATACGAGTGTAGGCATACTATTCAATGAAAACCATTTGCCTTGTAAATTTGATATGTGTTTTACAGTAGTACTAAACACCAGCAATTTTATATCTTCCCATGCAAACATGGCACTTCCCCAATCAACCATAGATTACTTTAGACGGCATGTATTCTAAAAGTATGCATTAGATGTGAAATGTTTAGAATTATTTGAACACAGAAGATAAATACATACCTCCCATGATGTAAGACTTTTCATATAGGATGGCAAACTTTCATAACCATCTTTTGATACCTCTATGATTGGCCTTACAGCATCAGCTGGCTTCACACCACCTTCCATTGCCACATGATTTCACAATATATGATAACAATGTAAGCATTTGATCTTGATATTGATTGAAAAATGAAATGATAATTAAATAAGAATTACCTTCAATTACTCCTAGGGCTTTTGCTGCATTTTGGTCTGGACCACTTATGCCATGATGCTTGTTACCAAAATGCCTAAAAATAGGATAATTTTAGAATGCAAGCAAATTAATATTCAAAGCTCCTTGAGCAACATAAATGACTAACAATATTCAACAACTTACTTCACTGGTTCTTCCACAAAAATATCAGGATCATCAATCTCACTCTTTGCTGCAAGTTCGTAAGAAGTACAAATAAATAAGTAACTATTAAAGTGTAGCCAAGAAAAGAGTATATCTAAGGAGTTCTTGGAGCATCTATTACATACCCATCAGGTAAAGCAACACTCACCTTTAGATGCTAAAGTGGCAAGACAAACGTCTGAAAGGCCTAGACTCTTTAAACTCAATGAATCATCCATTCTAAAGAAAATAAAGGAAGATAAAATAGTACAAGTGCATTAATAGGAATATACGACTTACGGCCATTGACAGTAACAGAACCTCTAATGAACTCTCCTCAGCAAAATTGAAGACATTACAACTAACAATAGACTGCAAACTAGATGGATTTAAGAAGAGCTGAACTTTACTTAGTTTACCACTTTGGAAACGTAGAAACACATAAATCCAGTTCAATTTAATCAAATTTTATGTTACTAAACGATAAAGATTAAAACTATTGGCCAAAAGAAAGAAAATGAAAATAAGCTAAACAGAAACAAAATCAGGATACAGAGGATCCTCTTCCAAACTCTTCATAATTGAACTCGCTGCAGATGCAGTTCCGCTATAAGAAGGAAGGTCCAATCCAGTACTGGAATCATCATCGTCCATATTGATCTCGACCTCTACCTCGACCTCTAATAATTACCTATAGATTTTAGTTTCTAGGTACAATTTTCTAAGGAAACAAACAGGTAAATTAAGAAATTGAGGTACCAGGAACATAGCCGAAGCTCTTAAGACGATCTTCGAGTTGAAGAAGATCGCTTTGATTCTTCTTGTAAACTTCACTACAATGACCTAATAGCTCTTCAAAGGAAACAGTACCAAACGACATGGATTCGAGCAGGTTTAGATCGCTACTGGCAGTTGAAACGCGACGATTCAGGCATTGTATGAAGGTAGAGGACGCCGAATCTGATTCAATTGTAACAATTAAGAGCGAAATGTTCTTGTTGGAGAGCGGAGACAAATGAAAAGGGAAATAGTTTTTTTCAGGAACCAAAAATAATAGAGTTACCGAGAGGGATGGGACGGCGGTCAACTGACTGTTTGATGGCGTCGCAGCTGGTCTGAAGATGGTTGCAGAACGATGTTAGCCTTTTGCTAAATTTACCGATTGATTCTTCCATTTCCTCTCTACCTCTCTGGCGATTGAAACTCTCGGTTTAATCTTCTACTTTTGCCGCTTTAATTCTTTTGAATTCTTTAGACAGAATATCCAAATAATTAAATAGCACATATATTTCCAGATGCACCTGTAGCTCAGTGGATAGAGCGTCTGTTTCCTAAGCAGAAAGTCGTAGGTTCGATCCCTACCTGGTGCGCATAAATTGGTTTTATAATAATTGTATAAATTTTAACCCCACTATTTTTCGTTTCTTGTAAATTTATAGTAATTGAAATCTTGACTTTTAATTAAAGTTACAACTTCCTTCTCTTTTCTTTTTTTTTAATATATTTTTGAACCATTATTTTTCAATTTATTACAATAATTGAAAATTTGATTTTTTTTTCTCCAAAATAATTAATGTTTAAATTCAAAGGGGTTATTTTCCCCTAAGTTTTCCATGTTAATAGTATAGAGATAACGAAGGTTAAATTAATTTTGTTTTATATTTCTTTGTGATAATATAGGAGTAAATCATGGACGGTAAGTTAATGACAGTTACGGGAGCTCATAATCCGTTGCTAGCTGTAGCAATTGGTGTTAGGAAAGCTCTGTCATGGCTGGAGTGGAAAGGGCTTGATGGGATTGGTATTGAGCTTGATTTAGATTGTTTGTAAGTGATTCAAGCTATGAAGCAAACTTGGTAGTTATTTTGGATTGTAAAACCTTATCAGGAGAGCTTACGTGTACCTCTTTTAATTTTGTGAAAAGGTCAGCAAATCAGTGTACTTATATTTAACTTTTTAGAGCGGAAGTATCGTTCCTCATGTGTTGATATAAGGTTTACATTTTCAAAAAAAGAAAATAGTATTAATTATAAATATTTCCAAACTACCTTTTTCAATCCTTTCGGCTTTCTCAAAAAAAAAAAAAAAAAAAAATCGTGTTGATATACGGTTACATTTCTTCCAAAAAAAAGAAAATACCGTATTTAATTATAATATTCCAATTACTTTTTCAATCCTTTCCGGCTTTCCGTCAAAAAAAAAAAAAAAAAAAAATCATTCTTTCCAATATAATGTTTACCCTCAATGTTGAACTTGAACATACCTCCCAAATAAAAATTTTAAACATCGATTTCTTAAATAAAAGCTCTTTGGAATAAAACTCAAAATAACATTATCCCAGTTTTAGCATTCCTTGTGATTCTGACCCAACGGAAAAATCATCATATTTTTCACCAGACTTCGGCATTCCTACGCTCAAAAAAAAAAAAAAAAAAAAAAAATCATTTTTCAAAATATAATGTTAACCTCAATGTTGAACTTGAACATACTCCAAATAAAAATTTAAAAATGATCTTAAAATAAAAGCTATTTGAATAAAAACTCAAATAAAAAATTATCAGTATTTAGATTCCTTGTGATTCCTGAACCAAACGGAAAAAATATATATTTTTCAAGAATTGCATTCCTAGCTCAAAATGGAATGAAGTAGAGGCGGAAAAAATTAACTGTAGATTTCATTGATTCCGAAATGTAATTTACAAGAACTATGAATGTTCAGACAGATACATTAAACGGTGAAAGAAATATACAACTCATATATACAACTTAATGCCTCGTTTAGATGCAAGCTTTTTCCACCAATCTTTAGGTGAGTTGTCCTTTAAGAGCACCAGCAGCCCTTTCAATGGCTCTGGCAACTCTCCATATCTCATGCTGAATGGCTGCCTGACCATCCTGTCGACCAATGTTCTTGGATCGAGAAATAGCATCTGCTATACTGGGGAAGAACTCTAGTTTACTTTCATAGTCACCCGGTGGCCCGTAAATCTACAAATGATGCAAACCGAGTTATATGTAGTACTAATTTATGTACATATACTACGCTAAATCTACAGATGATTGACAATTTTTTTCTACAGAATAATTTTATTTATCAAGCGCGATACGGTATTCTTTGATCAAATAGAGGTGATATGTCTCATTTGAGCTTCATGTAGTGATATTCAACAAAACAAATATTCCAATGGTCATATCATCAACTAGAAAGGATTTTTTAAGGCTTTGGCTACAGTTCACTGCCCCTTTCTTGGTCACTAATTCTATTCCATTTTGACAACCCATCAATAGGACTCTAGCTTACACCATTCATGAATTGCTCAAGTGTCGGCTTGGAGAAAACTCATTTGATAAGCTTAATTTTAAGCTTGAACAGAGCTCAAGCGGAGCACAACTCATTTAAAGTCCTGCCGTTAGTTCTAGTAATTAGCTAAAGGCAAATGCACTTACGAGATGTTTAAACCAATTCCTTCCTTGCAGCCCATCTGCATCTAAGAAGCCTCTTTCAGCAAGCATCAAGCGATCGTTTAATCCACGTAACTTCAAGGCTACAAACTCACCCCTACTTTCTTGCCATCTAAGTTGCTACACTCAAAAAGGCAAATGCCCCAGAATTAAATAAGAGCAAGAAAAAGCAATTAACGCAAATGGGCAGAGCAAATCACTCCACAATGAAGATAAGCACAAATTATTCATGTCTTAAAATGCAAAGTCTTGATCACCTTTTTCCACATCTTACCTTTGCTTCATTTTCAGCCTCTTTAGCAGCCAAGGCAAGTCTTTGTATTGAAGTGATTAAAGGATTAAGGGATATGCTTTGGTGGTCCAATAAATTGCTCAAGACATCTTTATGCCCCTGACAGGATGAGGGAAACCACAAAAGGCCAATTTCATTTAAAGATGTAGACACAATTGAAAAATAACTGTAGAACACAAATATCCACTGCCCAACTTTTTCCCCAAAATTGATTAGCCAATTTGTTCCTTCTTATTTCTTTTAGCCCCTAAAAAGGAAAAGACAAAGCACTGGCACACAACAAAAAGCACCGATTGTACAGCCATCAGTAAGGACACCTGTTAGTTAAATTGTCAAACATTACATCTGATTTCCCACTATGATATTGATGATAATGCCATGTAAACTTCAAATTCTTCTCTCTATATTTCGTTTGTTAGATATTATATTTAAATTATTGAATTTCGTGCATATGTAAATGGAAATCCTATAATAAGAAGAGTTACAAGAAAGAAGCATTTCTTTTGAAAGATAGACGTTTCCTAATAGACATGACTATCCAAAAATTTTAAGATGAAATCATCTCTACTACTGGCAAGATTCTAATCACTTGATCCAAAACAAATAACACTTGTCTTTCTCGCAATATCTTTAAAAATCAAATCTTAGAATTTTTGCCCAAAAAGAAAAATAAAAAGGTCAACTACCATAGCATGATACCAAATAATTAACTGCTATTTTAGCCAGATATACAATAAAAAGATAGATGCATACCTTTAACTGCTCTGCATAAGAGAGGTAATCAAAAGGAAGAACAGAGTCATCAGCCAGTTGAAGGGCTACAAGTCCCCACACTCCAGCAACTAAACCAACATAAATCATACAAGCTATATTACAATTAAAACTTTGATGACTAGCCTTGTCCTTTATCTGACAAGTCTCTAAATTGAACTATTGTATTCACACATGTTGGCAGAAGAAACAACTAACCAGCAACATGACGATGGAACAAAGGATCTCCATAGTTTGTCATCCACTCATAGGAGTCAAAAGCAGTGTGATATACAGGGAAATCTAAAGCAAAAAATTAATCACATCACCAGACTGTTTATAGCACTCAAACCTCATATCACTCCTGAAGTAACAGTGATAACTTTCCATAAACCACAAGAACATTAAATAATATCTTGCCACACTAAGGTCCTGCCTGAATGTGGGGAAAGTATCATTGTAAGAAATTGATATGGCACCAAAGCAGTCCTCTGAGAGAAAGGCAAAGAAAAGGCCCTAAAAATTAACCTAATTCCTGTCCTAAGTGATCCTCCAAATGCATCAAGCATACTAGCAAGGGCATTTTTCAAATCCCAAATTAACTAATTCTTTTTAGGCTAGCAAAAAAAAAAAAAAGAAAGAAAAAAAAGGAGGAAAAACTCTTGCATGGTAAAGGAGAGAATATTTCTCAAAAATCCATGAAATTACTCCACTTGGGCTATGTTTGGTAAGCCGTAATGAAACATAATGTAATATAATCAAATGTGTTTCTAGTGTAAACATTACATCAGAAATGCCTCTGATTACATGGCATCACATTAGGCCAACCAAATACGGCCTTAGATTCTGACCAAATAAAAAAAAGTTAAAAGTTCAATTCTACAAGCAGATTTGAAATGTCTGTGACCCAGAATCAGGATTAATATAAATATTTGCTAAGTTACAACTCACATCCAAGAAATGTACCTCTTCCATAATATATATCAACAGAAGGGACCCCTGCATGTTGCAGAAATGGGGCAAAGTCAGAATCAACTCCACTTAGTCTCTGGATCTGCAATTGAGCCATAACAATCCCTATTAACCATGTAGTGGAAGTTCTATAACTATAAGAAGTTCAAAGCAAATAAAGATTACATTAAATGATGCACCAACAGGATTCTGAAAATTTTAGACAGGAAAGAAAAGGCAATATTCTTTACATTCAAAATCTACAGCTGGATAGGAACTCTGAAAAAATATTTATCCAGGACTCCTTTCCCTCCCCAAATCCTATAGAGCAAGAAACTAAAGCTTTGAAGGAACAGGGCAATTGAAAATTGCATAGATCACCACGACAAATGTAAGCATGAACAATTTAATTGAACTAGGTACCATTTACACATAATAGCAATTTGTTAGCCATCATTCACTAAATCAAATCAGCAGCACAAGCTGGAAACCTACAGAAGGAAAAACAACAAGGACAACATATTTAAAGCACCATAATGTTATCAGAATCTTACGATTCACGATATGAATCTTACAATTCACGATATGCATCTTACGATTCGATTCATGCTAAACGATTTGTATCTTATGGGTGAATCGGTGTTGATCTTGAATCTTACGATTCGAGTCGATTCTCATGTCCAACGATTCTCTTACCAACAAAACCAATAGAAAAGTCAATATAGAGAAAAAAAGAGCAGGAGAATATAGCTATATTAGAAGATAAAGAGAATGAAGGGCTTGAATTTGGAAATGATAATGAATAAATATGGATTTGGATAGCAAATTTTAATGGCTTGATAGTTTTACTTTCTTTTATATTAAAATTTTAACTTCATAGTTTGTTATTTTGAACTTGACAACTACACAAGTCATTAAGTTCTCTTTCATTTTGTGTTTAGTAAATGGATTTAGAATTGAAATATATATAAATACGTTATTTACAATTAATTTTCAGTATCTTTTGACAAAATTAATGGAAATATATCCATAAATATATATGTATTTATTTTTAATTAATTTTGAAATGTTATACTGAATCTTACGATTTGACAACTATAAGCATAAAAAAGGTTATAGAGCACTCCTTTGTGATGTCCAAGCTGCATTATAGAGAATAAAGAAGAATTGCTATCATTTTAATCTTCTAGTCATGAAAAAGAAAATAACTACAGTACAAATTTTTCTACAGATTCATATTTACAAATTTAAGCATCGAGAAGAATTTCAACTAGCATTCAGTATCTGAAAGGAGAAGAGGTCATGATAGCCTTACACGAATGACTTTATTTCTGGCTGCCCAATTCTCATAAACTGTTGTACCCTCCAAGTCTGGATCCTTGACCTGAAACCACATTCTACATTAATTGACTAACATTTTGTCAAACACCAAGTTTTGAAATCAGTTTTACATACATGATGGATCAAAACTTTTTGAAACTAACATTGTGCTTTTATCTATTACATACCTTCTTTGTGACCTCGCGCAGAAGATTATCTAGCTGGGGTGTTGCGCCAGCAAAGAATCCTGGCCCTTGAACTGCACAATCTACATTGAGGTAGGCTACCGCTTTCGCACCCAAATTGGCAAGGTTTTGCTCAACCCACTCCGTAGATCCTACAGCAACATAATATTTTTGCAAAATTTTAATGCAGAAAAGTATTCTAATAAAACAAGCTTGTTAAATTTAGGGACTCAGAACCATCTTACATGTATACTTGCACTCTTAAAAAGTAACCAAAAAATTGAGCTGGTTAACCAATCAACTCATGACTACAGAAAAGAAATACAAAGAGAAGACAGTAACAAAAAAGCATAAATTGTTAAAAGATGATCACCCATGAAAAAAAATTTTGAGTGATAGTAGCCCTAAATACAATATGCAACGCATCCAATTGCAACAGAACTGCAATTGTAACAATATAATCTTCCAAAGTGGCATGAACGAAGATGATTCCATGCCCATTTTTAATCACATATATAAAGCATAACAAGCCCAAAAAGAAAGCCATCATATTCAGATTAGATTCCTCATTTCTTGAGAAAGTAATATACGGGTGAGCAGCAAATTTGATCCAATGTCCTTTCTTGTTTGGTTATGTTTGATTGAAACTCGAGTCTTAATACACCATACGCTAATGTCAAAAACAAGGTTAGAAGTTTGGAGATTGTCAAAAACAAGGTTAGAAGTTTGGAGATTGACATTAACAACCCGCAACTGTAAATCAGTGACCAATAAAGATGGAATATTACCTACCATACCGAACTCTTCTGCATCCCAACTAGAAAGGACAATTGTTCTTCGAGGCCTCCACCCCATCTGCAGCAAAAGAGAATATCGCCGAGCAATATCAAGTAATGCAGCAGTCCCACTATTCGGGTCAACAGCTCCATATGTCCATGCATCTCTATGATTGCCAAGGATCACATATCGATCAGGTTCTTCTAATCCCCTTATGACACCAAAAACATTTTGAATTGTAACTTCCTTTTTCTTCCCCTGGAAGACACCAGCAAATTTTAGAATAAAAATCTACGCTGAAAATTGTAGGAAAATTCGTGTGAAACTGTAAAGAGCTTGATAAAAAAAGAGGAGGGGTTTTGGGTCATGTTAGTGCTGGAGCTGAAAATCCAGAGAATGTTTGGCCATATTTTTCTTTTTCACCTCTTATGACTTGAAGGCTATTTTTTGTTGTATATATACCTTTGTGTGATCATAAAATCATTCTCTGGATTTGTGTGATCATAAAATCATCGAAATAAAAGTCTAGCCGCAATAAAAAGTACAGTGCAGCAACTTATTCAGAATTTTTTTCACCAAGCAGTGATATATAACAACAAAACTCCTAAAAGTCAAAAACCAAATTCTATTAAAGGGCACAAGCCACTTTTCCATCTACGAATATTGACTCTAACCAAACAAACAAACAAACAAAGCAGCAAAACAAGGCACCAACCTGGTAAGCGAAGTTGACCATGGTTGGACCCGGCCCGACCCTTCCAACCTTAGGACGATCGGATTTCCTCCACTCCGGCAGCATCATAGGACCCCCTAGGGACCCCAAAATGACGTCAGCATTCGCAAATGACAAGGGCAAAGATGGAATTTTAGGGAACCTCTCCAAGACCTGGCTATCTTCCAAGTCCAACCTTTCTCCTTCATCGACCCCTGCCCACCCAGGGCTTAGTGGGTCCCCCACACCTCTCATAACAGTCCCTCTCTCAATTCCTCCTCTTATACTATCGCCCTCGTCGTACAATAACACTGCAAGCGCACCTTTAGATTCAGCTATTTTAACAACTCCTCCTCTACTCAACCCACCACCTTTTCTCGCCAAAACTACGCACCCGCCAACATTCACCCCTAACACCCCCAGCGCACGGTAGTCCTCTTCACGCCCGTAATTAACAAAGACAACCTTAGCATGCGCCGTACCAGACGGAGAATACGCATGGTACGGCGGCACAACGTCCGGCCCGACTTTCTCGGAAATCTCCGTCAACGCAAAGGTAACGACACTGCCGTTATCAAAATGCGCGGCGAGCGAGGCGTGTATAGGATAAGAGAGAAGCGCTTTGTACTCTACCCTACGCGTCTCCAAATTAAGATTCTTAAAATGAGAGTAAACATAATTAGCGGTGTCGAGAGAAGCTTCAGTTCCGGCAAGATGAGGATGGAGAGTGAGAGCACGGAGGTAGGAGGCAAGGGTAGAGTTAGAAGAGTAAGAAAGGAAGAGATTGCGGTAACGGAGGGCAGTTTGGGAATTTCTAGTATAAGGGTGAGGGTGGTAGAGAGTATAAAAGCCCAGAATGCAGAGGATGAGGAAGAAGACGAAAGTGCAGAGAGGCGACGGCGTTTTGGAAGCGAATAAGGAGGCGGTGGGCTTGGTGAGAGGCGGAGACATTTCCAGAGAGATAAAGAGATAGGGGTTGCAGTTTTGTGACTTGAAGAAGACAGAGATTCAGTAGAAAAGGAGGAGAGAATTACAAATTTTTATTAGTATTTTTAAAAAAAATTATTGTTATTAATAATATTATTTTTGGGGTAATGAGAAGGTTTAGAATAGAATATAATAAAATGTATGATGTGGTGTGATGTACAGATGGTGACGGGGAGGATGATGATGATGATCTTGGTGCGGTGGTGCATGGAGCGGGAGAGAAGAGTGGCGTTTTAAGGCTGAGCGCCTGATAGCAGTGTGCAAGGTTAAGACTGAAACTGAAAGACATGAAATTCTGTCGTTTTTGGTTGGTGGGGCAGGAGAAGTGGGTTGGCCTGCACCTTTCCTCAGATCCGGTTCATTGAACTGCAGTTTCGGTTCATAAAATCCGCGGTTCAAAATTTTGGCTCTTAAACCATCAGTTTATCCGATTTTTATTGCGGCCGGTCCAGTGCAATTTCAATGAATTGACGGTTCCGATCACAGTTTTTTGTGATATACATATTTTTTTTAAAAAAAAAATGGTTCTAATGTTATATTTTTCTTTCGAAAAGATTAACGTGAATTTAAAAAATATTATAAATTTTTATTTTAAATAAATTTAGAATGCTTATACTCATAATAAGAATAAAATTAATTAATTTTACAAATTTCGAAAAGATTAACGTGAATTTAAAAAATAATTATTAATTTTTAATTTTAAATAAAATTTAGAATTGCTTTATACTCATAACTAAGAATAAATTAATTAATTTTACAAAATAATCAAAGAATAAAATTAATTAATTTTACAAAATAATCAAATAAATTATCATTTTATTTTATCTAAATGTTATTAATTAAATAAATTGTTAAAAAATTTTAAAAAAATGCTTCAAACAATGCAATTTTAAACTAAATAAATAATTTAAAAGGAAAAAAAAAAGTTACAAATAATATAATTTTAGACTAAATATTTCACTTTTTTCCATATTACTTTTTACAATTTTTAACTTTTCAAGTAAAGTATATTTTCAAAAAAAAAAAATCTTAGGTAATGTGTATCATATAGTAAAATATTATTTAGAGTTTTAGAGGTGTATAGAATAGGCTAAGTGATTATCGTTTTGAAACTAAAAGTATAAAATTTATGGTTCAAATCGGACTAAACCGTCGATTAACCGCAGGTTCAGATCCAAATTTTAACATTCACATGAACCTTAATCGGCTCTTAAACTATCGATTCTGGTTCAAAATTTTAAACCTACGATTCCAATTCGATTCTGGTTCAAAACTTTAAACCGACGATTTCAATTCGATTATGGTTCATCTACAATATAATTTCGGTTTAAAATGAACCAGTGGCCATACCTACATACAGATCGATTTGATTTAAAATAAACGTGAATTAAAATTTAAAAGGATAAACTGAGCTTCCAGGACTAAAGCCGAATCAAATTGAAATTACTATTAAGATTGAATAATCGAAACGAATCAACTCGATTTGGTCTATTTTTTATATTTTTTATATAGTCGATTCAATTTTAAATTTAACTAATTGAATTTTATAAAATTAAACCAAACTATCTTGAATTAGTTTGAACCGAAGTAAATCAAAAACTGAATTTATATGAGCAAATTCACTCAATGGAAAGGAAGTAGAAATAATATTTGTATATTAAAAATATAATATTAATTTATCAACAAGACGTTGGTACAAACAATTTCACTCTTCATAAAAGTGACTAGAAAAATAATTTATTGAGAGGATTAAAACTTTTATGTTTTAGGGCTCCAAAGAGATTAAATCTTCTAGTCATATCAAAAGAAAAATTAATAGCAATATAAATAAAAAAAATCAAAAAAATTTCAAAAAACTTTTTGGAGAAAGAAGTTTTGAAAGGAAAATTAAATCATTTGATTTAATAAACAGAATAAAGCATAAGATAGGCAATACCAACTAACTATAGTCTACTATACATGAATTTTTTACCTCAATTATATTTTGTTCATAGTTGTATCCTCGTTAATATCTAAAGAACATATATCCTTCGCGATGACTCCTGACAAATAATTCTAGGTTAACAAATAATTCTAGGTTAACCTCTTCTCATTTTAGCTTTCTCCACTACTAAATTATGAACCGGAGCATTATGAGGACTACCTAATATACGATTATATCATCTCAGACATTCTTCTCTCATTTTATCTAACTTCTGCTATTTTCACATTTTGTCTAATGTCATCATTTCTCGTCTAACTATGTGCGACTAAACATCCACTTAACATTCACACCTCTGCAACATTCATCTTTTGAACATATCAAGTAATTGTGGCCCAACATTTATTCTCATGTAACATTATTTGTCTCCCAGTCGTCCTATAGAGCTCACCTTTTACAATATTAAATATCTTCATATCCATAGTAACATTCCTGCCGTTTACTTAAAGAATTCATAAAGATTTGCTTTTTTTTTTTTCTTTTAATCCATTATTGTGTTTAGACTTGGGCAAGGATGGATTTAGGGTGGAGACAGTGAGCGCACTTGCCCCCACCAGCTGTTACATAAATGTTTCTTATATTTTAATCCATATATTCATATTAATTTGTGTTTATTCCACTAAGTTTTATCTTTTTGCCCCCTACTAAATTTTTACTTTTATATTATATACCCCCATTAATTAGATTTGTTTAGATCTGCCCTTGGATTTAGGGTTTTCTTATTTTGTAAATTATCGTTTTTTTAGACTATGATTTCAATAGTGTTTGGGTATTTACACTTATAGTATTTTTCTCTTATTGAAGACTGAATTATTATTTTTTAATTTATTACCTTTTAAACTATGATTTAAGTTATGTTTATGCAATTGCATTTAAGATTTTTCGTTTGTCAATACTTAAATTGTAATTTTAATAATTATTTTATTTAGTTGGTATGATGATCTTATAACTTTGAAACTTTAAAGCTTCAGTAGTTTTATTTTTAAACAATCCTTATAATAGGTACAGCTAGAATTTAAAAATTAAAAATTAAAATAAATTGGAAGCCCTCAATTTTATAATCAAGTCAGTATCATTGAGGTCAATTTTTGAGTTCTTGATTTAAAAATTAAAATCATTCAAAATTAGTATTAAACAGATGTTCCAATCAAGTACTATTTTAAAAAAGTAAAATACAGAAGCTAATTAGTATTGAAAATAGTTAAAACGATGGAATATGAATTTTAAGATATTTTTACATTTTGATTTTACATTAATAATATTGTTTTGCTTACAAGCTGCAAATTTAATTTAAAAATTATAACTAATCTCTAAATTAAAATAAAATAAACATAAGATTAATTTATCACTAAAATATTCAGGGTTGTTCGATAAAAAAATTACTATTTTTTTTATTACGTAACAAAAATACAAAGAATTATCTTTATGGTCCCCTGAAATTTGCGGGGTTTAATTACGACTCTACACTTTCACATTTCAGTAATTATCATGCCGTTTGCCAAAATGAAATAATTTTGCAGGACATTCAATTCAATCAAGACCTTGCAATTTCACATCTCATTTTGACAAAATATATAATTATTACTGACTGAAATGTAAAAGTGTAGAATTATAATTAAATTTCTGCAAAGTTTAGAAAGGTATAAGAAGAATCTGCTAAAATTCAGAATCAAATTTATGTATTAACCGAATATAAAAATCATAATGGTTGTATGATGTCGGTGTTGCTACTTGTTGTTCACTTGTTTGCACTTAAAAGGGCCATTGTGGCATGGGACGTAAAAATCTATCAATTTTGTGTTGGTGACGAGGATTTTTGGGTATTGGATTTAAAGAACTAAATCACATTGTATTTCTTTTGTGATGATAGTTACTTTTTTATTGACAAATGTTGTGAGGACAAAGGACCATTAAAGGCAATCAAGAAATGCAGTGTCCGGATGCTGTCCCTAAAATAGGGATGCATATATCTCCTCGTGGGATGCTTTGCTGCTTGCTAGTTTGTTCTTGGTTGGATGGCGATTTTATTGCCTAACACTTGATATTTTTCAATGAATGGATAAACTTCAAGTCAAGCCTTCTTTGGTTGTGTAAGTATAGCAATTTTCTGAAATTGCATAAAGTCTCTTTCTTTTTCCTTACAAACTTCACATTACTAATTGCGTAAAGTATGTATGAGTCCTTAAATTACATTCTAATTAATATTTTTATCGCCTTTATTTTGAAAAAATTACTATAATGTCCCTAATTTTTTCTTTTTCAGCTTGCTGTCTTATCATTCCGTCCAAAAAGTAATCTTTTTTATTATCATTGCAAAAGAGAAAATTAAAATGATCTTTTAAAATTTATCATTTAAGTAGGATAAAATACATTTGGGTCTTTAAATTATATCCTAAAAAATGATTCTGCCTTCCTATTTTCGAATATAGATGGGTAAAAGTGTTACTTGTGAGATAATTTAATAAACCATATATATTTTACCCTTATTAATTAAATTTATGGACAATAAACAATACGAATTTCTCTTGAATAAAAAAAGTAACTTTCTTATAAAAAGTTAGAGATTATTGCACTAATTATATACAAACAAAACAAAAAAAAAATGTTTTAATTTATTTTTATTAAAATCAAAATCAAATTGAATTTTTTAAAAATTAAACTAGATGCAACAATTAAGATCCATTCAATCGATTTAATTAATTTTATCGTATTCTGCTGCTCGGAGCCGATAAATCCGACCCGTATCCTTATAGGAGATTACTACCCCTCCACACCTAAAAATCTATGTTATGAGTGACATATCTTTAATTGATACTAAGAATACAAAACTTGTGGCAAATATTGATAAGAAAGGAGTTGTCTTGGCATTTTTACATTGGAAAAGGACACAGAACTTTCTTTTCTTGATTTCTTTATTATTCTTTTGTGTTTGTTTTGATTTGAAAAGAAAATGAGAATCCATGTCCACTTTCATGTCCTCTTTCACTTTCTCTTTCGCTATCAACATGTATATATATATGTGATCTTTGCCATACTGATTATTAAAGCGGATGATGCTCTCTCTCTCTCTCTCTCTCTCTCTCTCGAGTAAGTGAGTGGGGAGAGCATTATGGCTTTGATGTCCCTCACCTCACCTGAAAAAGATATCTTATTATCTCCAAATAATGGAAATCATCTAAGATGCTCTTTCTTAAAAGGGAGATACGCTTGGCCACACTTCTGGGTCCCTCAAAGATTTGGAATGTACCATTTTTCTTATTACACGTTTATATATATATATATATATTTTTTTTTTTGTTAGTGTAACTGGTTTTGGCTCAAACTTGGAATCGAACCGATTTAAACCCGATGTCATCCAAATCAAACTTAGAATCAGATAAATTCAGTACCACTCGAGCACCTTTGAAACCTGATTTATAATATATTACTATCTCTTTCATGCTTGTTTGTTGCTTGTAAAACTTAAGTTCTGAGAATTTAAAACTGACCTTAAAAATAAAATCAAATTAGATAGAGGTCTCTCACTTATCTTCCATATCATATCTGTCTCTTCAATAAATTCAATCATTGATGAGTTGCTTGCTGAAAAAGGCACAACATTATACAACCTTAGACAGTAACTTTTTTTTTTTTTTTTTAATTTCTCCGTTCCACTTAAGAGCCATACAGGAGTACTGTGTTCCGTTTTAAATGGTTTTTTAGAAATTTGAGAATATATTATTTTTTTTTTTCAAATTTGCTATATTTATTAGGTATATTAATAGGGAGTTCATAATTTAAAAAATGGGTAATTTAATCATTTTAGTGTGTATTTGATTATTTTTATTTGATTTAGTTGTTATATGTAACTCAGTAACTCTTTCCGAACTAAATTTGGAGAAATTCAAATATATAATATAAATTAAGGATAAAAATAAACTCCTTCGCGAAATAAGACATTTGCATTTTGCAATGAAAAAACTGTGCTGGCATTTGCCCCATACGGTGGCACATCGTGGTCCCATGTCTTATCCCAGAATGAAATGAACCGTTTTTTTTTAACTTATTCGGGTTCTGCAGAGCGACCCTGTCAATCCAGAATATCCTAGTCTTGTCCTTGAAAGCAAAAAACACATTATTTAGTGGCGGCAAGCAAAGTTGGCTATGGAGGATTCTTTCATGTAGTTTCCTTCTGTTCTTATCCCTTGCTCCACCCCGATGAGCTGAGATAGATTAGTTAGGCACTTGTTTATAAACTCATCTATGGATTAAACTAATGAAAACGCTACTTTTTGTTTTCTTGAAACAAATGTGTTTTTAGTAAAATGGAAAAAGTTTTTTAAAAATATTTATTGTGAACGGTTTGGCAGTGATCCACAGAATAGGTCTAGGCAAATTTTGTCTTAAAAAACTGTAGCTTTTCCTTTGAAGTAAAATTTTTATTATCCTTTGATAACTCAAAAATTGCCAATTAATTAAACGTATCATTAATCTTTAGCTGTGGATGAAACTATTAATCTTTAATTTCCAATAGGGATTTGGAGTTCAGATTTGAGCATAAGCTTTTGCTAGTTTTAGCATTAGCATTTTTTTGGAATACAAAATCAAACCTAGCTAAATTTAAGAGATGAATTAGTAAAGTGATGCTTTTGCAATTTGGCCCAAAGCTGCAAGTGCAATAACAGGCCTTGAAACTTCTGAGGAAGTATGTATTGACCAACTATCTTGGTTTCATTATTGGTTTTCATAGATATATTTGTATTGAAATAATAAGTTGTACTTTTTAAATCCAATGATATTCCTAAAGAATACAGGAACAAATTAAAGAGAAGAGAATGCTCAGAAGAACTCTGAAATATTTGACTGAACTAAAAAACTAACTATAGTCGCTATGAAAAATACAAAGCCAGTTGATAATATTTTGAGTATCCAAATGTGCAATTTCTGGAGATATCTCTTCTCTTCCTGTTTCTAATCATATGTTTTCCATGCAGCTATTACTTGTAGTTACAGCCAAAAACAGAATTCAACCCAAAATTTTTCAAACACCAACTATGGTGTTGTAAGTGCCATAACAAGCAAATAGCAATCCACATATCAGAATGCAATAATCCAAGGCTCTCTGCCAAAAATTCAAAGAAGGACCTAGTAATATCAGATGAAATGTGGCTGGCAGAACAAATGAGATCATTGCACACACTGTACTTCCCACAAGTGAGGCAAATACACCAAATTCAGGAACAAATGATGCCAAGACTGCCAAAACACCAATCAAAACTGCGCGACTTGCATATCTTCCAAATTTACCAATCCTTGTTGAAGTTTCATCATTATTATAACAGAGGTTTTGATACCATTCACTGTTTACCAGCTTCCCCTCTACAATTTCATGAACTGGGTGCACCATCATGGGAAATGTGAACGCTAGTCCCAGGCACAATCCAATCTGTTGCCAAACAGATTACAAAATTCAGTACAGCTGCAAGTTGTTCTTTTCTTTCCTTTTTTTTTTTTTTTTTTTTTTTTACAGCTGCAAGTGTTCTTTTCTCCTTTTTTTTTTTTTTTTTTTTTTTTTGATTGATATATTATAACTACAAGAATATCTTGCTAAGTCAGTGAAAGGTCAACATTATTTCACTGTCTAATAATTAAAAAAAGAAACTTCTAGTGAACAAAATCAATGTGGGCCTCGTGCTTAGCATATGGATCTTGCATTCCACCAATTTTTATCTTTGGCTTTGTATGCTTTGGATAAAGTTTATATGCTAAAAACACTGAACTGCAATTTGAGATGGTGACAGTGAATAGCATTTATGAGACAAGGACAAAGCAGACAGGTAAGCAAGCATATGTTGATAAAATACAAAGCAAATGGCATAAAGAATTGGTTCCAATTCCTAAAGCAAGCTCTATTTTATCAATTCCAGTCTGTACTAATAGCACTTTCAAAACTAAACAACTATTCAATGAAGCTAGACAATACTAGATTGAAAAACAAACCAAAAAATGAAAGGGAAGGGCAATAGCTAATTAGCTATTTCTAGATGCGGCTACAATATATAAGGTATAAAGTTAAAAGAGAGTACTCAGCCTCTATTTTTAGCATTGTTGTTTGCAGATCATTACAGTTTGTTTTAAAGTAAATTTGACTCGAACTAATTTTAAATATTCTGAAACATCTAAACCACACTTTTTTTTTTTTTTTTTTTTAATTTTTTTTTTTTTTTTTTTTTAATAGTAGAATCTAAAGTGGTGCTTTTTCGTAAAAAACAGTTGCAACCTCAATAATATCAAATCAATAATCAGTGATATGACTTGTATAAGTTTAAAAAGACAGAAGCATATTACCTGAACCACAATGGTAGACCAATTGTAGGGCAAATTGAGAGTGATGATATCTTTAGTTTGATCGCCATAAGCCATATAACCAGAAAATCCAAACAACACATAGACAAGAGTAATCGCAGTGAAAGCCTTGGCTAATAAGATTGGGAATTTCTGTCTCTCTTTCAATGATGCCTCCAATGCCAAAGTCATTCCAAATCCTTCAAAACAAAAAACTGCCATCCCACCAGCAAATGGCATTCCTCCTATCTTAGAAGTGACTGCAACTCTATCACTAAACTTAAATTCACCACTTAACAACTTTTCTACTTCCTCTTTAACCACTATTGCCATTGCTAAGAAATTGCATACATCTGCAAAAATGCTGAAAGGAGCTAAAGAAGATAAAGAACCAATCCAAGACAGAGCAATTTCAATGGGGACTAACAAGAATATGAAGGATGAGGCAGTAATGCCATGTTTAAATATGGAAGAGAGGTTTTGGCCAATGAAGACTAAGTATGCTACTGATCCTCCACATTGGGATGCAAAAATCAGAAATTCTGTTAAGAACCTGCCTGCATTACCCAAGCACTTGTAACCCAAATCACCATATGTTTTTGTTTCTTGTGTTAATTCTTGGGATGCCTTTTTGTCTCTGCATTGAACCTGTACACCAAGAAAAGTAAGCAAAACAAGAAAAACCCATCAACAAAACAGGATGGAAAATAATGATAATTTATAAACCCAAGTAAGCCTGAATTGATTTATATTGATTTTTTTTTTTTTTTTTTTTTTTTTTTTTTTTTTTTTGTTAATCTTTTTTTTTTTTTTTTTTTTTTTTTTTTGTTAATCAGGCTTTGGGTTGTCTTTAAAACTAGCAATCTCAAAATCACCGCTTTGAAGAGAACTCTATAAAATTCTTGAACCCCATAAAGGCACTTTATTTTATCTTTTAATGGATCTCATAAAATAAACAATTCCCTGCCTATAAAGATCAATAAAATTAAAATTAGAAGGCAGCTTTAAAAATTGAAAAGGAATTCATAAACATGCTCTAAAGCCCGAACTTGACAGGGTCTATACATCAACGACAGGTTATAAAGACGAATCCAGTGTAGGTCAGTCAAATCGGAACATTCCAGCCACTTTTAATTTTCTCATCTGAACCAACAGAAAGCACTTTATCTTAGCTTTAATGACCACATAAAACACTTCAATTCATTACTAGTTTACTACCCTCATAAAAATAAATAAAACAAATATTAAATGGAACTAGAAAAATGGAAACTTATTCAAAATTAGACAAGGTTAATCATAAAAACTCCAAAGTCCAGAAATTCCCATATGATATGCTACTGCTACAAACTGCATCTGAGCAACAAAAGCGAAGATGGGATATCTCTAATTTTTTCAATAAATTTACTAACCAGTAGAAGCATACAGTAATAGGTGGCAATTCCAGCTACAATAACACCAATCGATCCAGCAAGCCAACCAGCAATTCTAAAAGCGAAAGGGAGGCCTAAAATACCAGTGCCAACTATAGAAACAATAATATTCCCAAAGGTTTGAACTGCAGAAGCTGTTCCCGTTGATGGGGAAGATTCTAGCAAAGGAACTGCGGTATGAGAGTCGGAACCCATATCTCTCCTCTTGCTTTTGGCGGTGTAACGGTACAATTTGGACTCTTGAGAGAAAACAAAATATAAATAGGAACATTGTAGATTTTGGTTTTAACTAGAGTGTGGTTTCCAGAGAAGCGTAAAATTATATGAAAACCAATAGCAACTCAGATGTTTGTGTTCATGTGGTTGTAAATACTCTTTATTTAATTTATATATTTTTATTTTTAATCAATAATTTATTTTTCTTTTTTTGTATACTCGGAATTGGCTTTTATAAAATAAATTTTGAGAGCATAATTTCAATAGTTTTACAAAAAACACAAAAGAAAAAACGAAGTCTATTATATTTAATATCAAAAGCAAAGGAACTATCAAAATAATATATTAATAGATTTATTAATTACATTTAGGCTCGTTATATTAATATATTTGAAATAACTTTCTATTTTATTTTTATCCAATAAACGTAATTATTTTTACCAATCCTCTTCCTTTAAAAATTAATTTTTTAAATTACTTGTTAAATTAAATATAAACAATAAATTTTGAATTCTTATATCTTTCCTATATTTAATATACAATTATTTTTTTACTTTAATCTAATTTTATATTCTTACTATATTTTAATATATATTATATTTAATATAAGGTGATACTATTTCCAAAGTGCTAATTATTAACAACTTGCTTTGAGAGAAAAATTATGAAATGTTATTACTTTTAATGTTTGATGCAATGTTATTTCCATTGCAGTGGTTTTTGATTTTTAGTGGCAAATCGAAAGCACGAAATTTATTTATTGTGAAAATTTGTCAATAAAAGCGGATCTCGAATGGCCTGAGCTGTGATGAGCCTGTGCTTGCTTGAGTTCTGCCATTAAAGCATTTGAGATGGATGGATCGTGGCACGGGTTTAGATTTTTTTGCAGTAGATAACCATTTCAAACCGACAGTAAAACAGAATTCTAATACTCTAAATTGGATTGAAGAGGATAAGAGGAATTAGGGTAGTAAATTTGTATTCTTTTGCTTGAATGTAAACAAAGTAGGCAAAACAAATGTTTTACATTGTCTTTTTTTATGAACAACTATAGCTTATGGTTGTCTGCACAACAAGGCTTAGCCCAGTGGTAAGTGCAGATACAACTTGACAATACTTTTAGGTTCGAATTTCCTCCCTAGTACTCAAAAGAAAAAAAAAGTATGGTTGTAAATATTTTGTAAAAATTGATAGTTTATAATATAAAAAGTACGGTATATTCGCAGCGGTTAGGAAAATTATCCACAATATTAAGGTTAAACATTCAGAGAACTAAGAAGTATTTCGATTGGAACAAGGCTTGTTTATAATTCTTAGAGACATCTTCTTTCCTCACAGTGTCCAACAATGTCTCTCTTCCATGCACTTGAAGTTACAGTGCAAAAAACATTAGTTCAAGCACCAAAAATGGTGTTGTAAGTACCATAACAAGCAAATAGCGATCCACAAATCAGAAAGCAATAATCGAAGGCTTTCTGCCAAAAATTCAAAGAAGGACCTAATATTATCAGATGAAATATGGCTGGCAGAACAAATGAGATCATTGCACACACTGTACTTCCCACAAGTGAGACAAATACACCAAATCCAGGAACAAATGATGCTAAGACTCCCAAAACGACAATCAAAACTGCGCGACTTGCATATCTGCCAAATTTTCCATTTCTTGTTAAAGTTTCATCATTTTTATAACAGAGTTTTTGATACCATTCGCTGTTCTCCAGCTTTCCTTCTATGATTTCATGAAGTGGGTGTACCATCATGGGAAATGTGAACACTAGTCCCAGGCACAATCCAATCTATTGCAAATAGAACAAAATTCAGTGAAGCTGCAGGTTCTCTCTCTCTCTCTCTTTTTTTTTTGGATTGACTTACGAAAGAGAAGGATTAAAGACATCAAAATTACTGTATTAAAAAATATTTATTAGAATTTCACTTGTGCTGGTGTTGTCTGGTGTTCTCAAATCTTGTAAAAGACAAATGTAGAGTTCTTTTATACCACAAAAGTTATTTTTAATGCAATAAACTTACCTAGACCAAGTTCGTGTCTCCATCACAAAAGTTATTTTTAATGCGATAAACTTACCTAGACCAAGTTCGTGTCTCCATCCATGAACCGACCAATAAAGATATAAGTAATGATATTTTTAACCATATATTGGGGAAAAAAAAAAGATAAAATATGAACAATTTTTAAAGGGTTCTTACTTTCATTAAGTTGTTCCATAAATTCTAGTCTAGACAAGCATTTTACATTATTAATTGAGTGCATGTTATTCAGAGTAGCAAAAGAAAAGGTAAATTTTCCTTGTACAAATGTTAAATATTTCAAAACATATAACTAGCACTTTGAATTTTTTTTTTTTTTTTTTAATTTTTTTTTTTTTTAATAGCACCCCAAAATGGTGTTTTTTTACCGGAAGAGGGGGGGGGGGAGGGGGGGGGGGGGGGGGGGAGAGGAGGGAGGGGAAAAGCTTCAACCTCAATTTCAAATAGACAAATACACAATCAGTGATATGACTTACACAAGTTTAAAAAGATAGAAGCATAATAATTACCTGAACAGCAATGGTAGACCAATTGTCGAGCAAATTGAGAGTGACAATATCTTCAGTTTGATCACCATAAGCCATATAACCTGAAAATCCAAAAGACACATAGACAAGAATAATCCCAGTGAATGCCTTAGCTAATAAGCTTGGAAATTTCTGTTTCTCCTTCATCGATCCCTCCAATGCCAAAGTCATTCCAAGTCCTCCAAAACAAAAAACTGCCATCCCTCCAGCAAATGCCAATCCTCCTATATTAGAAGTGAATGCAATTCTATCACTAAACTTAAATTCACCACTTACCAACTTCTCTACTTCCTCTTTAACCACAACTGCCATTGCTATGATATTGCATATATCTGCAATAATGCTGAAAGACGCTAAAGAAGATAAAGAACCAATCCAAGAAAGAGCAATTTCAATAAGGACTAAAAAGAATATGAAGGATGAGACAGGATAGCTATGGCTTTTAAATATGGATGCGAGGTTTTGGCCAATGAAGACCAAGTAAGCTACTGATCCTCCACATTGAGATATGAAAATCAGAAATTCTGTTAAGAACCGGCCCGCATTACCCAAGCACTTGTAACCCAAATCACCAAATGTTTTTGTTTCCTGTGTTGGTTCTTGGGATGCCTGTTTGTCTCTGCATTGAACCTGTACACCAGGAAAAGAAAAAACGCAGTGCAATATTTCAAATATTGTTACAGAACTGCATATGGTCAACAGAAGCAAAAAAATGGGATGTCTCAAATCTTTTATAAAATTTACTAACCAATAGAAGCATGCAGTAATAGGTGGCAATTCCAGCCACGATAACTCCAATCGATCCAGCAAGCCAACCAGCGATTCTAAAAGCAAAAGGGAGGCCTAAAATACCAGTACCAACTACAGAAACAATAATATTCCCAAAAGTTTGAATTGCAGAAGCTGTTCCTGTTGATGGAGAAGATTCAAGTAAAGCAGCTGTAGTGTGAAACTCGGTTCCCATATCTCCTCTTGCATTTGGCGGTGTAATGGTTTGATTTGAACCCTAAATAAGAATATAGTAATAGATTTCGGTTTTTACTAGAAGAGTGGTTTTTATGGAAGTGGAATTATGAGGCACCTAATTACAACGCAGATTTTTCTGTTTTTTCTTTTTTTATTTGGCAGTTGTTGCCGTACAGATTGAATTTTTGGGATTTAAGAGGACGTAGATTGAAGGAATTTGAATGTTGAATTTAAACAATTTATGGTTTTGATAAATTTTTTTTTTTTTTTTTTTTTTTTTTTTTATTTTTTTTTGGTTTGGTCTAAGAGAAATAGAATACAATCTATATATTTTTTTTTTTTTTTTTTTTTTTTTTGGTTTGGTCTAAGAGAAATAGAATACAATCTATATATAATAGATAAAAATTTAAATTACTTGATTTATTACAACGATATCTTTAAATTCATGAATTTTTATTTTTCGATCTTATATTTTATGGATTTTACATATGTAACATATTGATGTATTTGAATTTTCATTTTCAACCTTTTAGTTTATGGAGTTTGTGAAATGCTTGGATTTTACATATGTAATATATATTGATGTAAAATGCGAAACAAAACTTTTAAATTTTGTTTCTTTAGGGTACCATCGATCATTTTTTATTTCGGTGGTGGTTCCCTTTTGATTTTTCTTTGATTTTACTTAATTTTTATTTTCAATAATTTCAAGATTTATATTTATTTCGGATAAATTTTTTGATTTGGTCTCTCAAATTTGTCCTTGTTAATATATTATGTCAAAATTATATATAATTAGTTTATCGTGAGCAGGGATTTTATTGATGAAATAGATATCTATTTCTTTTACTACCCTCTTAGTGCTTTTGAGTGTGTCTTTGTAACCTCATAGTGGAGCTTTATTGTGTTTCCTCTCCTTTTATGGAGTTGTTCTTCGTTGATGAAAGGTTTTGCATATGTTTGTGATTTGTTAGTTTTTTTTAGAAATTTAAAATAGAATATGAATTGTTGATTACTTTGATTGGAGACTATACATTTTCAAATTCAGATAAATGATTTTGTAACAATGGAGTCTAGTAGTGCGATGTGTTCTTCCATTAAAATTTAGTATTTTAAACTCTTTCAAATGTATGAAGTTTCTAAAAAAAAATAAAATTCAGGACAATATTATAGAAAGTTTATTTCATCGTATGTGAAAAAGGAATAATTTTTATGTGAAAAATTATTCTCTTTTCCTAATATCATTAGTGAACTCCTAATATTTTCTAGATTCTACTTTCCTGATCCTAGGTTTTCTTTCCTAATTAGTTTACATATTTATCATAATTATTTTATAGATTCTACTTCCCTTGTTAGGTTAAGGTTTTCTTTCTTAGTTAGTTTAAGATTTTCCTTCATACCACGAAAAGGTGTAAATTTTTCCTTAATTCATCAAATTGGTGAAAATTGTTGTATTAAGTAAACTACTTTCATGAATTCATCAAACTCGAGATATTCTACTCTCAATATTAGTGAGAAAACTAATCAAATCATATATTATTGGCTTTTATTCTACTTTGTTGATATAAATATACTTATTACTGTTATTTAATTTTTTAAAACTAATAATCCCTCTGTCCCATTTTGTTTGCTCGTCATTCCTTTTTTTTATGTCTCAAAATATTTGTAAGGTTTTCAAATTTAGATATGTAAATAATTATTTTTCTTACACTAACATTTATGATTGTTCATCAAATGAATATATATCTTAATTAATATTTTAAGGATAAAAAAAGGTAAAATAATTTTTACTGACTATATTTTTAATATGAGTGTTTTGTTAAACCATGCAAACAAAATGGAACTGAGTGAGTATGTATTAGGATTTCAATAATCAAATTCAAATCAATATAAATAACTTAAGGAGAATGAGATTATTATCTTGAAGACTAGACATGAAATAAAATTGTCACAAATCATAATAAAAATAGCACAACAAAGTTTGTTAATTTTTATAAGAATTTTTAATGAAAAAATAGATTATGGGCTTGAGAAAGTATATTTTCAGAGTGGCTAACTAGATAAACTTGCTAATTTTTTATACATGGCCTGATTATGCACGAATTAGATAATTATAACGAACAGAAAAATTTAAACTATGAAGAGACGAACAGAAATATTTAAACTATGAAGAAGACGAAGATCATCATATATAAAAGACTCCATAAATTGCAATAAATTTATGTTGTTTGAACTGATGATAATAGGCCATGACTTTTCTTTTTTTCAGAATGTGAAGAAAGGTGGTGATCTTTTTGTTAATTTTTTATAATTTTGCAGTGAATTAATTTTTTTCAACTGATATAATGTTAAGCCATGGCTGATTCTTTGTTTGGAGAGGAAGGAGGATGAGAGGAAAGAAGGGAGAAATAATGCGCGTGCTGGTTAAAAAGAGCGGTCTCCTTACTTATTCTGACGATATAGTTTTCAGAAATTTGGAGCATTGCCAATTACCAGTGTTTGAAAAAATCAAATTTGACCGATTACCTTATGAATCGATTGCTGGTCCGGTTTCATTTGATCCTATTTTCTATTGCAAACTTTCTTAATTAATTTTAAACTTAAAGATCACCATTAATTTTCTATTGCAGCATAAAGATCATCATTTGGTCGTATGAGCTGGAGTAGGCCCATTTATCTTATTTTTGGGTTTGGGTCATGCTGATTTGGCTAACATGAATAATTATACTTTATTTTCTATTTTATTTTATTAATATAACATAATGAATAAAAATATTAATTTTATCTTGATATATGCATGAGAAAAAAATGAATCCTTGCTTGGCCTTAAAAAATAATTTCATCTCTAACAACCCTTTCATGTCATCTTCTCAGTGAGGATTAACCTTGAATAGGGATTTCATCTTTTTAACTCTATCGAATTAAAAGATGCAGAGAACTGAAGTTGTGCTCTTTTGATGAATTGCCCTGACTACAAATATGATATGTTACAGAAAGGCAAATACTCAAATAAATGTGATTTTTCACTCACCTATAACTACCTCCCATAAATACAACTCCAACTATGAAGTACAACTAGAAGCATTAACAACAACAACGCATATATGCAACTACAAGCATCGACATTCGATGCTTCCTGCCTATCTTGCCAGATGCTGCTGAGCTTCTGGCAACATTTAGCAAGCCTCAAAAACAGTACGGCTGGCAAATACAGTCAATGGCATGCATCAGCTTTCTCCGTGGACCTACTGCATCTGCACCCATATCCTTCAGCTTCTTCATAGTTAGATTAACCAACTGAAACTTACCCACACTCCTACCCTGAAAAATCTTCACAAATTGCTCCAGACCAATCGACGCTAGCCACCTGCTCAACCCACCTGCTTTTTGAAGCTTCTTTTCAAGCAGTGATGCCCTTAGCCTCTGATTTAGCAGCGCGCTTCCATCAAGGAAGTGCCCTTGCCCGTGCAGTAGTCTTGGCTGCTTGATTGATTTTGATATGTTTGATACTTGAAGCATGTTATGAGACTTTGAAGTACGAACTCTTTTTGGATTTTTGGATACTATTTCTGCATTTACTCTTGGTAGCTTATCTAAAGCCAAAATATGATGTGAAGGTATTTGCACAGATGTTTCAATACTTCTATTAGGAGCCGCATATGTCCCCATTTCTTGTTCATCTGCTGAAGGTATCCTATTAGAAGTCTCAATTGGCACTGTTGACCTATTATTTACAGCTTTAATGGTCGTGCTTTCCAGCTTACTTGGTCCTGGCTTTGGCATTGTTGATTTTCTGGAATGAGGCAGCACAGGTATCAGAATGGTGACCCTCTGCTTCTTAACTATGACCCAACTATCTCCTCCATCCAAATCTGTGTCACTCAAAGAGACATCCTGGCTCGTAGGTTTCTCTACCAGCTTTTTTTGTTTTGGTTTTCCCATTAGTTGTAGACCTGCCAGAGATTATATTAAGTAGAAAGCAGATAAAAAGTACTGGTAATACTGGAAAGTAAAAGTATTTGTAGAATATTTTGTTCCAACATAGTAAAATCAAATAAATAATCAGTGTTTAATGCTAAACACTTATCATTCACATGCCTACGCTTTTGTACTGCAAGGATAACAGTATTGCCTAATGTCTTCAACGTATATATTTTCTAAGCATGAAATAGAGCCTATATGAAAACCACAATTCCTCTCAACTGCCAATGTACCGATTGCAAACTTTGATAGGATACAACAATGTAAAACTGCAGATACTTCATAATGAACCTGGACAGACCAACATGAACTTCTATACTTGGAAAACCTAAATTGCTAAGAGCACAACCTTCCAATGAACATCCTGTCACTTACAACAATGTAAGACATCCCAACCGACCAAACACTGTCACCATGACAGTGGACACAAAATGCACTGAAATTTAGTTCATAAAACATGATTAGGTTAAGAATGGTCTAATCAGATATTCAGCTCCTCACTCAAAGCATGAAACTGACAATATGCCCTCTCTTCGAATTGTTGAGCTGCAGTTGTTTTCTTTTTTTTTTTTTTTTTTTTTTTTTTTGCTGCAGTTGTTTTCTTTTTTTTTTTTTTTTTTTTTTTTCCAAACTGGTATTTAAACCAAAAGGAACACAAGCTAAAAATCATGACATATTTTTTTTTTTTTTTTTTTTTTTTTTTTTTCCACCTGGTATTAAAACCAAAAGGACACAATGCTAAAAATCATGACATAGGATAGCTGAAAATGGATATCACCTTAGCATTTGGAGTGTAGCAAGAATGGAAAGTCAATTAAGAAGAATCTGCAGATCACCAAGAATACAGTTGTGAAAACTGAATCATCTGGTGCTAGTGCTCTTGGAATCACAAAGGGTAGGTGTTTATAAAATCTTCTCATGTGCACCAACAATTTGATTCATCAGTAACTTTCGAACTATTAAGAAGAGAACTTTCCCATTCCTAATTTACCCATTAAATACTATTTTAGCATAAAAGGCTTTAATAAGATCCCCAAAATAAAAGTAATTATATTGTTTTAATTTCATATTGCTTCATTTTCTAATTTAATAAAGTCAGTCAAGTGTTCCACAAAGGTCGAATGGCTTCTTTTTAACTTGGAGGTTACAGGATTAAACTACAAAAATAGCCTCCTTACAGTGCAAGAAAAATGCTATAATAAATCCAACCCTTCCCTTCCCGAGAGTCCATGAAAAATTTTATGCAATGGGCACCCTCAATACACAAAGGGCTAAAGACAAATACCACCAAGGAGCAACTTATCAATCAGAAAGGTAAAAATCACTGTGGTCAACCAGATACAAATTTACCTTGAATGTTATCCAATCGTGCATGCAAAAAGGAATAAAAAGTGCACTCACAATTTCAAAGCAACAAGAAGCACCTTACACAATGATGTTGTCACATCTTAATGGTGAAAAATGGCTAGGTACAGTGCTCGCAAGCTTTATGATTGTCAAAAGGGCAGTTTGATTTGGTTGGAGGTTATACATAAAAGAATAAACTCATTCTTTGCAAAATATGCTAGATAAATCGAATTCAAGCACTCAAATCGAATGCAGTTTTCGATCTAATAATCCATGAAACAGTCTCTACTTCAATGAGGTAAAATATTTAGCTGTAAGGTGATATGATTTAACAGATTTTATTAAAAAAGAGTAATACCTGGATTAGAATGAGAAAGCAGCAGATAAATGCAGTCACATTATTTATTTACTCACTATATATATCATGCAACTAACAGTTTTTTCCCCCTTTTACTAATAACTATCATTTAACTGGACAAGGAAAGCAGCATTTTCCAAAAACTTAGAATCCATTTACTCATAATACATCATTCTTTCACCTTCTAATCGATATATCATGAGTAATTGAATTTTATGCAAACAAAGATTCCATCAAATTAAAACTCAGCTTCTTAAATTTCCAAATTTAAATGGTTGACTAAAGAAGCTCAAATCACAAAGATCAAAGTAAAGTTATTATCTTAATTATATGGGTATTATTAGGTAATAGATGTTAAGTATACCAATGAATCCATATCATATAAAACAACTGATCGAAACAAAAAGATTAGAAGGCCATGATCTAGAGATTAAAAAGAAAAATTAACATATTATAATCGTATTTAATAGAAGAAAACAGAAGAAATTACCAAACTTGGAGGTTCGATGCCGAGTAGTGAAATCGCAGTTACAAAGTGAAAGATTGAGGCTTTGGATCTGCAGTGGAGTTTTCAGGTGGAGCAAAAGGAAGAAGAACAAGAAAGAGCGGTTGAGAGAGCTGACGAAACGTTGCCGGTCAGATTAAATGGTTCAACTAGTGGGTTGGACCGGCAAAAAACAATCAAGAGTCACTGAGATTTTATAAAATTATTACTTTATACCTATTGTTTGAGAAAATTATTGACACATTCCGGAGGTTAATTTCATCGGAGGGAAAATATTATGTAGTCCCTAAAATATTGTCAAATACATCACCTCGTTTCTCTATTTTGGAGTTCTCAATTAAAATATATGAGAGGTTTAATGAATCAAAATAATATTATAGACTATACAGTAAAGGATAATTCTCCTTTTTTCTATATTTTTTGTGAAAAATAGAAAAACCAATTAGATCACACGATTGACTTTATATTTTTTTTATTGTGAAATATTTATGATAGTAATCCCATCTTTTTTTTTTTCTCTTATATACAATAGACACGACAAAATGTTTATAAGGCAAGCCATCAATTTTCCTCTACACAATCTTTCTCTCCTAAATCTATAATAAAAGGATATGGCCTTTTCATGACTTCAAACTCATCCGTGCTATTTGGTAGAAGCCTAGACACATTGTTTATCCTAATTATCATATTCAAAGTCTCTAATTTCTAACTCACGTTGACATTTTGATCGTTCCTTTATAATTTCTATTAACATTTTGGTTCATTTATTTTGAATAAAAGAAATACAGTGTTAATAAAATCATAATTTAGAGACTTCATAGTTAGTTTTTAAAAATATAGGTCATTACATATTAATTTGACTATAATTGAGAAATTAATTTATTATTTTTCCTAAATTTCATCTATTTAATCCAAATAACATAATAAAATAATTAAGGGTGGGGATTTTTTCCTTATTAATCAAATTGCAATAGTTTTAGTTGATAAAATATTTTTGTTTGGACTCCACCAAGCCACTCTAATCTTTTGAATCATAACTACGTTGAAATGTTGATGAGGCATCCAATGGGTTATTGAGGGTCAAAAGCGATTGATAATCATCATATCAGCCATTCGTCTGATCAATGATTGATCCCCTTCCAACCAACTACCCATTAAGCTTTGACCTAAGATGCAATTTCTCAACCCGATTATGATCAAATACTACTCCATTATCCCACTCAACAAATCTCTTAAACGATGGTTTTTTTTTTTTTTTTTTTGGTTTTAGAAATTATTAAAGCGATATTCTATTTCAATCTATCGTGCGCATCTCAATGAATAAAAGAAAAAAAAAAAAAAAAGCCAACAATTATTAACAGCGAACTATCTTAAAGAGCTAAACCAAACAGTCCAGTCAGTCGTATAAAAAAAGCTGGTATTTGTCAAAGCCGAAGCTTAAAACTTGTACACGTAAAGCACATGCAGGCCATATCTAACACCAAAGCCCATCACTCGTTCATTCCTGCATTCCACCCTGCATTTTGTTGTAAATCCCGAGAAAAGCGCGGCCAGCTCTTTGTGGTTTAAACTAACACAACGAACGAAAGGCTTTCTTGCGAACTTTCGCGGTTTCTCCTGACCAATAATTCCCGTATCTGTAATAAATCTTCTTTCTTAGAGTAATTTTATCATACACTAAACTTGCCCTTTCAAAGTCCTTTTCCAGATTTCAAGCATCTTTTTTGTTGCTAAATATTCAACCAATAAAATAACAACAACTGGGTAAGTGCCCCTTTTCGTTTGACTGTTTTACTGATCATTGCTTAATCTAATACTCAGTGTTCGTTTTTTATTGGGGTTGTTGCGTTTTTTATGTTTTAGAAGCTCGTTAGTTTTCTTTTTTTTTTTTTTTTTTTTTTTTTTTTTTTTTTTTTTTTTCAAGCATCCTTTTTTTTGTTTGCTAAATATTCAACCAATATAACAAACAACTGGGTAAGTGGGCCCCCTTTTTTCGTTTGGACTGGTTTTTTACTGATCATTGCTTAATCTAATACTACAGTGTTCGTTTTTTATTGGGTTGTTGCGTTTTTTTATGTTTTTTAAAAAGAAGCTCGTTTAAGTTTTTCCTTTTTTTTTTTTTTTTTTTTTTTTTTTTTTTTTTTTTTGTGGGGTGTTTTTGCCTGAAATTTTCTTAGAAGATGAAGGTTTGGTGAGACCATTTATGGAGTATTTACAATGGGTAAAGAATCAAAGAGAGGCTTCTTTTTTGGATAAAATACTCTCATGTTGAGTATTAAGAGACCTTAAGAAAGTAACTAAAAGAGTTTGTAGAACCTGGTCAAGCAATTGGCAAAAATTACTGTAGATTGAAACAAGATCAAGGAAGATAAAGGGGAATCCTTTCCTTTGTCTCAATTTTGCGCAATGGTCAAATCCTTGCCCCATGTAAGTTCTTCCCCTTTTTGGGTTTAAAAGAAGTTATATTATAAGATTATTTGACGCAATCGATTTCTTTACTATTTTTGGATTTTTTTCCTGTAATTTGTTGGAGTTTGGTAATTAGTTTTTTTTTATGGTCCGCATAATGAACTAGGAACCAATATTTTCAAACTGATGACTAAATTTGATTTTGGCATTTTTATTTGAAATAAATATGCATTTTCAATTTTTTCCTTTTATTGAAAAGAAAATTAAGTCCATATTCCAATTAAAACTCCTACTCTGAATGGGCAATTAAGTCCCCTTTTTTTTTTTTTTTTTTTTTTTTTTTTTTTTTTTTTGTGGGGTGTTTTTGCTGAAATTTCTTAGAAGATGAAGTTTGGTGAGACATTTATGGAGTATTTACATGGAGATCAAGAGAGGCTTTTGGATAAATACTCTCATGTTGAGTATAAGAGACTTAAGAAAGTACTAAAGAGTTGTAGAACTGGTCAAGCATTGCAAAATTACTGTAGAATTGAACAAGATCAGGAAGATAAGGGGAATTCTTCTTTGTCTCAATTTTGCCAATGTCAATCTTGCCCATGTAAGTTTCCCTTTTTGTTTAAAAGAAGTTATATATAGATATTTGACCATCGATTTCTTTATATTTGGATTTTTCTGTAATTTGTGGAGTTTGGTAATTAGTTTTATGGTCCATATGACTAGACAATATTTTCAAACTGATGACTATTTGAATTTTGCATTTTATTTGAAATAAATATGCATTTCAATTTTTCTTTAATTGAAGAAATTAAGTCCATATTCATTACTCCTATCTGAATGGGCAATTAGTCCTGGTCGAAATTTCCAATAAATTTTGTGGAATTGTCTGAAATTTTATGTTTTCTTGTTAGTATGAATGAAAATATTAATTTCACTCAATAAATTCAATTTTTTGGAATTGAACTCTATATTTCAAATTTATTTATATCAAACAGGGAGTTTTGAACTTATTATCATCAATATTAACCACCACAGTTTTTGGGCTATTCATGGTACATATTTTCAGAGAAATGGCTACAGTTGCAAGTTGAACTATAGTTTGATTTTCACTAGTCCTTTCTGAATCTCTCATTTCATTGCATATATGTCATTTTCTCTCTTAAAAGATTCATAATTGCAACGTTACATGATGATAGTGTTGATCTTACTAATTATAGATAACTTGTTCACTCTGGTATTGATCATAATAATGAAGCTCCCTGAAATTTGTAGTGTGCGATCAATTGTTCTTTACTGAATTGATGAGAGAAGCTTCGGACGTAGCTGGATGCTTTAGTTCTAGGGTTAGAGATCTCCTCCATCTTCATGTTGCTAGAGGAATGCAAAGATATGTGTTGCGGGTGCGTCAGTGCTTCAAAAATGATCAGCAAGCGATGGTAGAAGAAGGGCGGATGTTGATTGAATACATTACAATGAATGCAACTGCAATACGTAAAATCCTAAAGAAATATGATAAAGTATGCATTGATGTAGTCCATTTCTATTTCTTTTGGCGCATCACATTATCTTATATTAGAAGAAAAATGTTGAGAATTTTTCTGTTCATCAATGTAGATACATAGCTCTGTCAATGGCAAGAATTTCAAATCCAAGATGCAGGCGGAGCACATAGAGCTTTTGCATTCACCTTGGCTAATAGAGTTGGGAGCCTTTTATTTGAATTTTAATGGATTAGATGGTGGAGATTTCAATGAATTTTGTGGTCATTTTTCATGTGATCTTAATTCTACAGAACCTGTCATAACACTGATGCTTCCGAATTCAGCAAAGCTAGAATATAGCCTAACTTGTGCTATTTGCTTGGTAAGATATCATCTGTGGTACATTCTGAGGAAAGAAAATATAACATTTTGTACATTCATTTTCCTTTTTCTTATTTTTTTTATTCACTATCTTTCAGGAGACAGTTTTTAATCCATATGCCTTGAGCTGTGGGCATCTGTTTTGCAAATCTTGTGCTTGCTCAGCTGCTTCTGTACTGATATTTGAAGGCCTTGAAGCTGCAACTCCTGATGCAAAGTGCCCAGTCTGTAGAGAGGTTAGTATATCATTAATGTGTATTGACTCTCTCTCTCTCTCATGCACACATGCATATGCACACATTTGTTCGTACTGAATTTTTTAATATTGAATTTGAATTAATAAGTTATTGAGCTGAATGGTTAAGAAGTAGTATCAAAAACTAATTTGCAAATCATTAAGAAGTGGTATATGATATCATTCTATAATTGTAGGAGGCAATTTTGTCATCTAATAAGTTATATAGCTTATTGAATCAGTTCTAGAAAGAAACTTTTTTTTTCAGACAAAATTTGATTTGCTAAATTCAGATAAATAGCTTATTGGTTCAGCGCAAACAAACAACCTTATTTCATTGTTGTCTGAACGAGTAAGTTGAAGATCCATAAACTCTCAATAAGACAAAACAAATAATCCCTTAATGTTTCCTATGCTGCTTATCAGTAGTATATTCCCTTGTCTCTTATGATGTTGCCAACATAATCTTTTGGCTTTCCAGAATATTAAGCTGGTGGTTGGAAGTGAGGTATTGAGAATATATTTTAGTTGCCTATATCCTGGAAGGATATTAAATATGCCTACTGTGACATGAAAAGTATGATCGTTCTTCCAGTAAGGTTCCTATCTATCATCTCTCGAAACAAAGTCCAATTTTTTAAGTAGAGAGAATTTGTGAAAATTTTCTTAATAATCAGAAAAGTCCGTTTCCTCACTTTTGGGCTTGCTATAGTTTCCATCTGACATCCATTAGTCATCTGATTAATTTTCTTTGTGTGGTGCGTGTGTGCATGCATGTATTTGGGACCTGAGCTTGTTGTCCCTCACCCTGCCACATGAGTTCTCCACCCTCAGTATCCAATGTTTTGCCACTGCTCACAGCTATTTTATTACTTTGTTATGCAAAAAATTACTATAATTGGAAAATACATCGTATAATTCTGTATTTGGATGGGGGGCAACAACTATATTTGATGCCCTAGGAAATGGTCAGTGGTGGCACTGGCATCTCCACACTCTAAATTTTGATGGTTTCAGCCAAGCCATTATTTATATCTGGAAATTTCCATTTGGGTCGATAGCAGATGCATGACTCGTATATAGTGCGCAAGCACATGTACAGTTATGCTTAGTTAACTTCCTAATTGATTACTAATTTTTTTAGATTGTTAAATTATGCTCTAAATATTGGAGTTAAGTAGAAAGATATGTGTGATAAAAAAAGTGGATACACAATACTTTCTTTTAAGTTAGGGGTCTTAAGTGGAAAACATTTATGGGTAAGGTAATAAAATTTTTTTGAAGAGTTTACCCCCTAGCCCCCAACGTCCACTATTGTATTGGGAATAGACCAAGTGTGGTAAAATGCTTTTCACTGATGCTCTGCTGTGTGAAATAGAATCTTCTGAGAAACGAACATTTTAGGAGGTTGCAGCATAGAATTCTGGAGATGTGATGTTTTACCTTATCTGTTATGAAAAATATGAACTAGTTATACTTTCATGTGTGATCAATTTATTTTATTCCTTAGACATAATAAAAAAAATAATAATAAAGGAAACTAATTAAAGTTTATCATATATTCTGAAGTAAGTTTTATATGGTTAATGATCTTAATTGATAATCAACTTGAAAGAAATCCTCTGCTATTTTATTCTTATTAAGTGAAAACTAAATATCCAAGAAGACAGATATGTTTAAATTTCTGTCTATATCATTTCAACTATAGAATTTAGTTAAGATTAAGTTTTTCATGTCCAATGTAGGCTGGAGTGTATGCTAATGCAGTACGAATGTTGGAACTAGATCTGCTATTTAAAAAAAGGTGAAGATATTCAGCCGTTGCTTCCTTCTTTTTGTTTGAAAATTCACCATATCTAACTATTAAAAAATCCCTTCAGGTGCAAAGAGTATTGGAAGGAGAGAAGGGTTGCGGAACGTGCTGAGATGGTAAAACAAACCAAGGATTATTGGGATTTACAGACGAAATATGTGATTGGATATTGATCGATCACGAGGCTCTCTTAATTTTTTTTTCTTTATTCTGGAGTATTTGAGTGAAGAAATGATTTCTTTTTCTAGTACTGTTGATAGCTTGGAATTATAGTACAGTTTAGTTTGGCTGAGTTGCTGTTTGAAGGGAAAGAAAACTAATAATTCAAGCTATTCTAGAGAAGAAACTAATAATTTGGCGGTGGTAGATTATAGCTTGTGGTTTTATTAGTGCTTTCTTATTCAGTTTCAGGGCAAAAAAAACTGTGTAGTATTCTATTCGACTCGATTCATTTGTTGCCATGCGTGTGTTGAAGTTCAAGAGTTCAAATTTGACTTTTGCTTTTCTTCATATTTACTGTGAATTCAAAAGAAAAGCATTTTTATTTAAACCATCTGACATTCGAAGCTCACGTGTTCTATTAATTCGAATTTATCAAATACAGACAAAGTATTAATGTAAATAGAAAAGAATAAATTAAATCAACTGTTTAATTTTCAAAGTTAATTTGTTTAATATTAGGGGTGAGCAATGTGTCTGCTTGGTTCAAAATTGAACCGAGATGGAGAGAGGCAAGTAAACTTCCAAGAGCAAAATCAAATCGAAAATGAAATTATTGTCAGAAATGAATTGAATCGGACTAAATTGGCTCGATTAAATCGGTTTATACAGTATTTATTAATCTTAATCCTTACAGGCTTAGCCCTATAAAGACGTGAGCTTAGAAGCAAAGTTGGACTGGTAATAATTGTTCTTCTTTGCATTTCCAACTGGTTAAAAATCAAAACATGGCATTCGCTTCCTGGCTTTTTCGCTTACGTTCTTCTTCCAAAAGAGCCTGCACCAATCTCCGCAACTCCTTTTTCCACAGTGTAGGAGTCCAAAGCACAACCACCACTGAAAATCTTATCGACCCCGCTACCGCAAAACAGCCATTCCTGTTATGGTCAAGTTCTCTGCTTCCTCTGACCCTTGCTGCCACTGCTGGATCGCTCGCCTTCCATTTCCAATCTGAGCCTTCTTACTGCGATGCCTCGAATCTCGATTCTCGGTCCATTCTTCTTCTTCTCCTTGTTTTTAAAATTTTTTGACTATTGCTCTAATTTTGTTAGTGTTGTTGATTTGTAAGTTGTAGATAAATTGCTTCTGCTTAATCTTTTAATGGCGTGACTGGTTATTTCTTTTATTTATCAATATATTTGGCGTTGCAGCATTGGAGGAAAAAGTAGCACAGAGTTTCTGGTAAGAGGTTCCCACAAGAAGGTGCCTCAAGAGCTTATTGATGAATTAAGGGCAATTTGTCAGGTACATCTCTTTTTTTTAAGGGAACAGATTGACATTTAATTGATTGAACTTTAGGAGTCTTGGGCGTTGGAGTAAACGGCATTTGTTTTCTATCTCTTTATGAATGTTAAACAATGTGATAGCTGTAACTAAGCTATTGGGTTGTAGATGGGTTATGACACTATTGGAGTTACAGGATAACATGACAATGGATTATGATGAAAGATACTTCCATGGAAAGCCACAAAACAGTTTTCATAAAGCTGTAAATATCCCGGACGTTGTTGTTTACCCTAGGTGAGGTTGATTCTTGACATTGAAATCATTACTTGGTTTTTCATCATTAATTTGTTCGTTTATTCAAATAACTATTAACTGAAATATTTGTCAATTTATTGATCCTTGTGCTCTCCTGTCAACACAAAAGTGGACACTTTAGAATGGTTAAACTGCTATTTTTTTATGTCACTTATGTTTACCTGAAACTATAGTTTAAAGTATGATTTTCTTTTTCAAGTCAGTTGCCAGCGTACAGTCAGTTACTATTGTGAAGTTCTGGGATTTAACCCCTCGTGTATAATATCAAAATGCTCACTAGTTTGCCACATATGATCATAGGAACTGATGTTGGTGTGCCAGTTAGGAGAAGGCATGGGAGCAGGACTTGAGTAGTTGGTATACGATGGTGGGTACTTGTACTATTGTTTGTGTAGTGATATGGATGGTGGTGATCAAAGTAGAGGGGAATGTAGCAGTTGTAGTAACTATGGGATTGCTGGTGGTTGAAAGAGGATGGGTATGGAATTTATAAACATAAGGATGTAATAGGAGAATAAATTTATCTGTTTGAATTTAGTATTAACAAACAATCTGCAACAGGGTTCTTAACTGGGACTAACTTCAAGTTGGTTCATTTCTTAAACATTAGGAAGTAGTGTTTAGTTGAGAGTCTAAATAAATTTCTTGGATATTTCTAAATAGCTGTATGGAACATAGGATAAAACAACTAAGAAGCTTGTGGAATATCTCATAGGGCCTATTCGGCAACAACTTTTCACGTAGGGTTTAGTATTTTGACTTGGTCAAGACACTATCCCGATTATTTATAGTATTCAGGGGCATAGCATTTATACTAGTGTTTGGAGTTTGAGAAAGCAGTATATCAAATGTTTCTCCCGTAATGATCAATGAAATGCTGGTAAAACAATTAACAACTACTAAGACAGCTCACAGCTGCTAGAACAACTAATTTGCCAAACAGGGCCATGAAGGAATGTATAAAAACTTTTGTTGTATGTTATATCTCGAATCAAGTAAATGATGTCTTGTACCATATAGCTTTCCTTATATATGCACGCTGAGTCAGTTTTGGCTCCTCCAGGTCAGAAGAGGAAGTTTCCGACATTGTTAAATCTTGTGACAAGCATAAGGTTTGAACTCTTCCTTCTCTGTAATTGGTAGAAGGTCATCTATACAGATAAAGTTTTTGTCTTTTAATTGATTATAATTTTTTTCCATCAAAGATTTGGTTTCCTGTTTTGATTGATGTTGCTGAGTATCTAAATTTCAAATTTGGTTCTTGTTGTCGCTGTATATTAATTTTGTAACCATACTATCTTTTTCTGAAATCTGGAATTTGAGAAATAACAATAGAAGGGACTTACATGCAATGAGAAATAACTGTGAAAAAGACTTACATGCAATGATCTTTTCTGTTGGGCTAATGACCAAAGAAACCTAAACCTTTTCAAAGAATTGCAATGATACCCGAATTTTTCATAATGGATTATTTTACCCTAACATTTAAAAATTTATTGCTATTTCTAACCATTTGATTAAAATTGTACCATCATTTTTTCAATTGAGAAGGGAGGTGAAGAGTTATTACTAGAATTGAGTTTGGAGATCGGTGATTGGAAAAAATGGCAAGTATACTAAGTTTTGGTTCATTTTCGATTATAATGAATAGTAATCATTGCAAGAAATCTTTAAAGGTTTGGGAAAATAGTATGTTTCGAAAGGTTTGGGTTTTTTTGGCCACTAAGACTTTTTTTTTGCATAACTGATCACAAATGATATTTGACATGGTAAGCAAGCACTTAACTGGATTAATTTTATCTAATTAGGTCCCTATAGTACCTTATGGTGGAGCGACTTCAATTGAGGGACACACCTTATCACCTCATGGTGGTGTTTGCATTGATATGTCACTAATGAAGGTACATATCAGACAGTTATTTATTATATTTTGTGGCTAATTATTTAGGAAATGCATATTTTCTTGTACTTCACTCCAAACAGATTCAATAATTTCATCAGTCCTGCATTTTTGCATTGACTTGACATGTCACCAATGAAGGTACACATCAAACAGTTACTCCCTCCATCCTATTTTGTTTGCTTGTTATTTCTTTTTTGGATGTCCAAAATGTTTGCAAGGTTTATAAATTTAGACATGTAAATAATTATTTTTGGGAGGTGAAGAGTTTATTACTAGAATGTTGAGTTTTGGAGATCGGTTGATTGGAAAAAATGGCTAAGTAATACTAAGTTTTTGGTTTCAATTTTCGATTAAATAATGAATAGTAAAAAAACTCATTGCAAGAACCATCTTTTAAAGGTTTTTTCGGGAAATAGTTATTTTTTTCGAAAGGTTTGGGGTTTTTTTTTTGGGCCACTAAGACTTTTTTTTTTGCCAATTAACTGGAAATCAACAAATGATATTGAACAGGTGTAAGCAAGCACTTAAACCTGGATTAATTTTTATTAATTAGGTTCGCCTATAGTTACCTTATGGTGGAAGCGACTTCAATTGAGGGGGACCCACACCTTCAAATCACGCTCATGGTGGTTGGTTTGCCATTGCATATGTCAACTTAAAATGAAGGTAAAACATTATCAGACAGTTTATTTTATTTATATTTTTGTGCTAATTATTTTAGGAAATGCCAATATTTTTCTTGTACTTTCAACTCCCAAACAGATTCATAATTTTCATCAGTCCCTGGCAAAATTTTTGGCATGACTTTGACATGTCCCCACCAATGAAGGTAGCACATCCAAAACAGCTTACTCCCTCCACCTAATTTTTGTTTTTGTTTGTTAATTTTCTTTTTTTTGGATGTCCCAAAAAATGTTTGGCAGGTTTTAAAAATAAATTTTAGACATGGTAAAATAATTTATTTTTTTCAACATAATAGACGTTTTTAAAAAATAATTATTTCATTGAATGAAAGGGCTTTTTTAGTAAATGCTTAAAATGAGCTTTATAAGGGTTAAAAAGAAGAGCAAAAATAAACTTTTTTGGGTTTTCAACGTAAATTTCCTTAATATGCCGTGGTTTTGGTCAAACCTTATGCAAAACAAAAATGGGGAAACAGCGGGAGTATTTAAATTGAAATTTGTTGGCTAATCCAATTTAATAGTGTAAATTTTCTGCTTAATTCTTAATGAGTTATTAAGGGTAAAGAAGAGCAAAATAACTTTTGTTCACTAAATTCTTAATATGCGTGTTTTGTCAAACTATGCAAACAAAATGGGACAGAGGGAGTATTTATTGAAATTTGTGGCTAATCATTTAATAGTGTAATTTTCTGCTATTTCACTCCAATTGTTGAGTTTGATATCTTCAGAGTGTAACTTGTCCTATATCAATGCTCTTCTAATAATACATAAGACCCACCAACTTAAACGAAAGGTAGCAATGTCTGTTCTAGAGGTCACGTACCCTTTCTATAATGCAATTTCTTGTTAATTTACATGAAAAAAAAAGAAAAAGAAATGATACATATCCAAAGTCAACACTGCACTTGATTCCACCAAAAAAGTTGGACAATCTGTTGCGTTACTTTTCTTCCCTGTTCTCCCCCTTCCTCAAACTAAAATTTGAAGTTTTCAGTATGCAATCATGTTATCACTGAAAATGTCCATGTTATAAATGCATCAAGAACATAAATGTCTTTGATATTTATGTTGCACTACTCGATCAAATTTTAGAGTGTTAAGGCACTGCATATTGAGGACATGGATGTGGTTGTTGAGCCTGGAATTGGGTGGATGGAGCTTAATGAATACTTGGAGCCTTACGGTCTATTCTTTCCCCTTGATCCAGGTACAGTTACCTTTCCATTTATTCAATGAAACAAGTTCATTGTCGTGTTGCGATGTGGCTCATTTAAATCGGGAAGTTAACTGAACATGCTTCAAGCTCTTGACCAAAGTTTTCGAGCTGTGTATATACCATATAAATTCATAACGTGAAACTTGGCAATCATTTGTTGTCTTTTGCCCTGAATGCAGGGAAAATAATTAATATGTTGTCTGAAGGTTTTTCTTTTGTTGATTTTGTGATTGATATTGTCATATTCTTCAAACTTTGTTGATGAGCAGGACCTGGTGCAACCATTGGTGGAATGTGTGCTACACGTTGCTCTGGTTCTTTAGCTGTGAGGTCTGCTTCATCAGATGTTATCATTTCATTTTTATTGATGGTACCAAACCGCTAGTTATTTCTTTTAGCAGGCAATATCCATAGCAGAACAAGTATCCTCTCATCCTTGTTCAGCAATCTTCTTTAACAAGTTTGGTATTTTCCTTAGACATACTGATCCCGTTTTTTGTTGAACAACTTATTGGATATGTCCTTAGCATGTTCAGGGCATATGCCATTTTATATATACGGTTCCCATTTGTCTTCTTTGTTTTAGGAAATTTCCTCACTGACAGTAGAGATACATGTAAGCAACAAGTTCAGAAAATTTGCTTTAACGAGTGATCTTTTACACCAGAGTGATGAAAGCTTACGATGCAATACCTTGGTGGAATTCTTGCAATATTTAAAAGTTTGAGGACAGTAAATGCTGTTTGACAAGAGTTTTCATGGCTAAACTAAACACCAGAAATATATATTTTTTTTTCTGCATTTTCGGTTAGCTACATTTATCTGTTTATTTCTTTAATTTATAAATTCATTTGGCTTTAAGTCCCTTATTCTTTATTTGCTGCTTGCCATCAAAATGTTCCTTTAGCTCACAACCGTGAATCATACCTTGTCATTGTGCCTTGTGCAATTTAAATACTTTTGTATGAATTCCAAGTGCTCTTGCCTCAGAAATCAGAGATTTGTTATTCCAAAAGCTCTTTATAAGGACTTATATTGTTATCTCTATGATGCCTTGTGATGCTGTCCTAGTTCAACTTTTATGTGTTAAACAACATTGTGCAGCAATAAACAATTTGCCCAACAAACATTTGATTTGACTAGATTCACTAGTAGTTCATTTGAGTAAATAATGCATTTCTTCTTGACAATTTAGGATCCTGTGCCTTAGATGGTCAGGATCATATGTTTTGTTTGAGTTGCAATTAATTTTTACTTTGATCATGAATCTTTTTCTTTTTCTATTTTTTCTATTTTTTCTATTTTTTCTTTTCTTTTTCATATCTTTTGGTATTGATATTTTTACACGATTCTCTCAACAATAGAAAATAAGTGAACTATCATAGAAACTGTTTAAATGGTCATATTAATTATTGGATTTAATAATTCTGTTTTTAGCTTGTAGGTATGGAACTATGCGAGATAATGTCATTAATCTCAAGGTTTGCTAATTCTCCTTCTAAGTCTGGTTCATTATTTATGACATTCAACTCTCAACACTATTTTTGCTCCAGGTGGTTCTTGCAAATGGAGATGTTGTCAAGACAGCTTCTCGTGCTCGAAAGAGTGCTGCAGGGTGTGTTCTCTTTTCTTTTTTGTTTCAATGAATATGTGAAAAGTAACTAGGCCTTTCCCAAAAAGGTACCAATGAAATTTCGAGGTAACCTCTATAATGATGTGAAATATTGATCCTGATCAAATAAACATAGAAAGGAATGCCAGAAAATTATCGGAAACTATTTTGTTTCTTCTCTTATACTTGTAGATTGTTGGGCTTGTTGAAATTGTGTGCATTAGGTATGATTTGACTCGCTTGGTGATTGGAAGTGAAGGAACCCTTGGCATAATAACAGAGGTCACTCTAAGACTTCAGAAAATTCCGCAGCATTCTGTGGTATCCAGATCCTTTCTTCGCTTGAAAGCTTTTTAAATAAGTAACAATTTGCTATTTTATATGTTTGCTTTCTTTGGATAAATGGGAATGTATGATCAAATTATTCTAACTTAGTAATAATTTGCTTTGTTATGTTTTTGCTATTCTATGTATATTATATAAGATTCTAGTCCATAACTGTCTAGACTGTAGAGGCAGAGCATATGTTACTTGTGCGTATAGAACTTGGATGTTGTTAAAATATTTTATTTTATTTTTTAAGTTTTTGTCTTATAAGCAGAAGAGTTCATAAAACATAAGAAAATGATTGACTTTGGATGAACTATTAAACCATGCATTTTATGATAGCCATTAACAAGCAAAGGAACATTATTTCTTATTAGTAAGTGCTCAAAGTTTTCATGGTTCTTAATGCTCGTATCTAGTGAACTTTAATCATTTCATGGCATGAAAAATTGCAAATATCTGCTGGAAAATATTATTAAGTTCTGTTTAAGAGAGCATTAGAATCTTACCGAAGCCATTTCTTAAATGATGGTTATTTTTGTGTTGTGTCGAACATTTATGCTCTCGAAATCAGCATTACTAGTCGACTGTAAATTCTTAAATCTGACGTATTTTTTGCTTCATTACAAAAACAATGCAGGTTGCAATGTGTAATTTTCCTACTATTAAGGATGCAGCAGATGTTGCCATTGCCACTATGCTGTCTGGCATACAGGTGGGAGTAGGACTTCAAATGCAAGTTTTGTTCAAGGATTCATTCTATTTATATCCTTTCTGGTTGCTTTAGGTATCAAGGGTGGAACTTCTGGATGAGGTTCAAATAAGAGCTATAAATATTGCCAATGAGAAGAATTTACCTGAAGTTCCTACTCTGATGTTTGAATTCATAGGCACAGGTGAGCCATGATGTCCCTTTCTTCTGAAGTATATCTTTTTTACTCAGGGTATATTGCATTATAGGTCTTCTTGTGTGCTCATATTAGAAATCAGATAACTTTTCCCGACAATTGGAATGCCCAATGATGTTTTGGTTTATTCACAAGAATTATGTCAGTTATTGACATATATGATTCCTTTTTGCATGTCAAAATATATGGTACTTATAAAATGACCTTTGAAATACTGTACGCCTGAAGGGACTTCTCATTGGGGGGGCGCTGGGGAGTGGGCGGGATGGGGGGTCCAGTGATTATTTTGATAATTTTTACTATATTTTCTATATTATGCTGGTCAAAATTGGGTATTTTGGAGGATAGATATATGTTTTGTATCAATATCTAGAGATGTGTAGGTGAATACACGCAAACAAAACAAACCTAAACTTATTATCTAATAAGATCAAACTTTTCGCTTAATTAAATAGGGTAGGCCTGCAAATTTAAGAAAATTCACTCCTACTATGTAATTATGAGCAAACTTTTAGGATGAAATGCAATTCATCTTGTTATTTCTTGGTTGTCTCAATCCATTATTCTGATGGATGATTTTTAATCACTTCGCTTTTTGCTTGGCATATGTTAGTGTTGATGGATCATGGTTAAAAATCCTGAACTTTGTCAAATTTTTCAAAAAAAAAAAAAAAAATTTCGTAACCTTGTTGCTATTTACCTATTAAACTAATTGAAAAAAAAAGAAGTATGGTTTTACTATAAAATCAAATAAAGCCAAAATGTTAATTCTTAAATTAAAATAATTTGCCCCTACTAATTTAAAATGCAAAATTAATTTTTCTTGAATTTTTCATTTCAAATTAAGATTTTTTTTTTTGTTTTACCAACCATTGCAAGAAATAATAATAATATAATAATATAGTAATAATAATAATAATAATAATTTAAATATAAAAAAATTAGCACCTTATATTTATTGAAATTATAAAGAAATATATTCTTTTCCATGTTAGTTTTTATGGGGGCTCCATTGTATTATTACAACGTCCTTGCTAAATTGGTTACAATGTTATCAAAAATAAAGTTCAGGGTGCAACTGATAAAATTAAAAATTTGGCCGAAAGTGAAAAAATTGACAAATTAGAGGAGGTCTTTTGACGCCAAAATAGAAACTTAAAACTATTTCTACAAACCCTGCCAGGCTATTCCAAGTTTCTGAAATGCTGAAAATTACTGAAGTTTCCCAAGACTTGACTGTACCAGCAACTGCTTAATTTGAGTAGACAAACAAAAAAGGTGAAAAAAAAGACTTTAAAATGACAAGAAAGTACTCTATCATATCCCAAATAAACTCTATATTAAGTCTAGATCATAATTCTAAATATCTTTAACTCTTAATCTTGTTTTGCCGGAGATTCTTGTTGTCTGCATCATACTGTCCAAATAATTACCTTTGTTCATTTCCTCATTACATGCAAAACCATTGAAATTTCATAAATATATTCTCACTTCCCTCTGCAGAATTGCAGTACCTGAGGGTTGGAACACAACTTTACCAACGGAGGTTCCTTTTTGTAGGAAAATAATGATTGTTAGTATGCTGTCTATCTGGATTTAGGAAAAGAATAGAGTGAGTATGATGTAATAAATAAATATGCTACGATACATATAGAACTACAACTAGGATTGCCAGCTTATCATAATAAGGGAAGATATAAGACAATAACTGTATTCTCTTTTATATTATATGAACTTAATGATTCATTCTTCTGAGGGAGGAATGAAATTGCTTATTCTTGCATTTCCTTCTGCCTTTACAAGTGTCCTTCTGTGCATCCTTAATGAGTATCATTTTTTTCTCTTTCATTAAAGAGATTCTTTTAGCTTTCTCTTCTCATTTTACCTGTTGTGATTCCTTTTATCTCCTTACAAGTGTTCTTGTCTGCATCCTTAATGCGTATCATTTTTTCTCTTTTATCAAAGGTATTTTTTTAGCTTTCTCATCTCATTTTACCTGTTGTGATTCCTTTTATCTCCTTACAAGTGTTCTTGTCTGCATCCTTAATGCGTATCATTTTTTCTCTTTTATCAAAGGTATTTTTTTAGCTTTCTCATCTCATTTTACCTGTTGTGATTCCTTTTATGTATTAGCTGCTGGTAGTGCTTAATTTGATAACTTCCCTTTGCATGTGTATTAGATATGAGGCTTTGCTCTTAAGAAAATGCTCTACTGTACAGCAGGACTAATCTCTACTTTTGTGCGTCATCCTTTTTTTCTTTGTTATGTTCTTTGCATTTAAAATTTCAGTTTTATCTTTTATGTTCTTTCTTCAGCTTTTTCTTAAACGGTGTGGATCTGTTCCATGCTTCTTCTGTACTTGGCTTATGCTTCCTTGTGTATTTTTCAATTAATTTACTTGTTAAAAAATAAAATGCATTTGCATGCTTAGCTTTTACTCAGAACACATATATCTGTCTAGTCATTGGTTCTTGTTTTGGGTCTGGTCACCTAAAACCTCCACCCAGCATCCCATTGAATGCCAGGTGAGTTTCCAGTATCTCATACAAAAATGAATCCAGTCTTGAAACTCACAAGGAGACCTAGATCTGGGATATTAATTTTCTGCGGCCAAACTTTTTTGAAGGTCCTATCCCAGTGCCCATCAATCCCATCCTGATGGTTTCTATTCTTCATGTCTTATCAATACTTCCAATGCAATTACTGATTTGTTGATGAGCTTCCTTAGTCAGAGACTTGATCCAAATAGTGGTAATATTTAAGCTTTGTGATAAAACTTCTCGGTTTACTGCAGATAAGAAAAGAGGCTCTATGGGCTTGTTTTGCAATGGAACCCAAATGTGAGGCAATGATTTCGGTGAGTTGTTATGAAGAATGTCAATTAAACATCTTAAATTCCCAGTCATCCTATCTGTTAACATGTATCTGTTTCAACTTTTTAAATGGTTAGTATTTCAAGGATCAATTTGTGCTGTAGTTTGTTATGGGATAAGGTGGTGTTTCTGGCTCCTATATGGCCATGTGCTTTGGGCTTTAGAGTGGTCTCTTTGAATGTTATTTGACTTGATTGGAGAGCATTTCTGTTTAGCTTCTGCTTATGTTTAAGTTGGTAGCTGTCATTTTAGTTGTTTAGGACGATTCCTTATCATCCATGTTAATAATCTCCTCTTGGTTCTTTCTCAACATATATTTTATATATATATGGTATTGAGAGAAATCTGCCATGTTCACAAATAACCATACCTTCCTTCACTTAGTTAATTGATTACTAATTAACACTTTACTTTAACCTCTTTTTCCTTTGGAAAAAATTACATTTTTCATTTGACAAATAGCAGTCTGTACCTTTCTAAAATAGAGGAAATATTACTTTCTAAAGCTTGCAGAACAACTACAGATTCTTGTTTACAAATTATGATATACTCCTCGTAGAATGAAGTTTCCATGAACACTCCATCAGGTTATCCTTGTTCCATTTCTCTAACCTGATTTTATGCAGGATGTGTGCGTTCCTCTATCGAAGCTAGCAGAGTTAATATCAAGCTCTAAACAAGAGCTGGATGCATCACCTTTGGTTTGGTATGCATTCTTTGAGTAAATATATCTTCTACAGAATATACAAGTTTAACTTGTTTATAGTTATGCAGTTCATTGAACTGATGTCTTGATGTTATTCCTTCTCTGTATAACAGCACAGTTATTGCTCATGCTGGTGATGGAAACTTTCATACTTTGATCCTTTTTGACCCAAACCAAGAAGACCAGAGGCAAGAAGCAGAGAGACTTAACCAGTTAATGGTTTATGCTGCTTTGTCAATGGAAGGTACCTACTTCCGGACGCATATTGTGCTTGCCTTTTGTTGGACAATGATTCCTTGAGTACTTAAGAAGCTATTTGTCAATGATGCTGCAAAAAGAGGAAAAAAGAAAAAACACCAAGTTACTCCTTACTTAAACACTTTCATTTTTTTTTTTCATGGCAGGAACATGTACTGGTGAACATGGTGTTGGCACGGGAAAAATGAAGGTATTTTACTTGTTTCCATGAACTTGTACATTTCATCTTGTTAAAAACTGATGCAACTCCATTGCTCATTTGTTAATAGATTTACTATAACGACAACAGACTTTCATCTAGCTTATTTCTGAACTTATGTTTTCATGCCTTGAGATCAACATAATTATATACAATCACTGAATCCTTGGGCCACGAGAGCATAGAGTGTTAGCCTGAAATATGAAGCTTGAAATTTATGAATTTTGAGCTGAAATTGATTTGAACCTAACCATTTTATGACTCGAGTCAATTTAACATTATAAGCCCTTTCTTGGCTTTGGTTTTATCCAATATGGGAGAAAGTCCAGTGTCCAACAAAAATCTTTTATTTAGCCAACTATGCTAGGACATTTATGTATTATTACATTATAACCATTGGACATTGTTACGTAATAAATGTTTCAGGGGATTTCTTTTTATATCTGTATTAATTGGTATTGTGTGATTCATTTATGCTCAGTATCTTGAGAAGGAACTGGGAGTGGAGGCCTTGAAGACAATGAAAAGAATTAAAGCAGCTTTAGATCCAAACAATATCATGAACCCAGGAAAACTCATTCCGCCCCATGTTTGCTTTTAAGAGCACCTTTTGGTGCACCTAGCTGGCACATCCTTGTCAGTTCTTTGTAAGAGCTTGTATTACTGAGGTAGGTTCCTAAGCCCATCTGTACCATTTAGAATATCTTGTTTGGGCCCTACTTATGGAATCTATTTGACATACATGAGGTTATAACAGGCCAAATTAGTGGTCAGTACATCCTTGAATTTGTATTATTCACATTTTGCTGAGACAACCTAACATCTTTTGGTTCATGCTTGTTTATCTTTTTCTTTCACATCAAACACATACATGATCGACCCTAGAAAATGTATCTAGATTGTACATTTTGACAATCCTACATTTTTGCTGCTGTTAGATGAGGACGAAATATTACGAACTATTTTGATAATTTGTATTGATTGACTTTTTAAAGTTTTTTTACTGTAGATAAACAGAAAAAGTAATTCAGTTTAATTCTAAATTGGATGATTATTTAACTTTACGCCTTCATGAGGATTTGATTCTGTGAAAAACTAACTGTGCAGTCTACACTCTAAAGGGAGGCTATGTCTGGAGGCTGCAGGTTTGATGAATTTCCTTTGAGGTTAAAATTAAGTGCGGATTGTGCTTTTTCCAGCCAAACCAATATTTTTCCTTTAAAAAAAAAAAAAAAAAAATGCCTTGATGTTGGGTAATTTGGTTTTTGAACAAAATACTGACAATTGAAGGATCTGAGGGTAAGTGTGAAGTATAACTTGGACAAAAAGAAAAACAGGAGAAAAAAAAGAAAAAGGAAAAAACTTTTGGAGAATCGTTTGGCTCTTTCGCCTTAAAAAAGCAAATTTTAGTGGTCTCCAACCTACATTTTCAATGAATTTTTCTTTTCAATAACCCTTAAGCGAAAGTTTGGTCGGAGTGGAAAAGATTTGGATCCCTTGAGCAAGTAGTTAAGTGTTTGATTACTGTGAATGAAAAAAATCTCTGCTGGGAGCGATTCCCTGTTATGGGTCACATGCGAGGCCAGTAAGATCAGACTAAGTCTAATGGCCAGGGACAATAGTGGAAAACACAATCAATTACGTGTAGTCATAGGTACTGTTGCTGAACAACATAAAATTCATGTTCATTTCTTCCGACTCTGCTGCTGTTTAAGTTTTCTGCCAAAGCTTAATACTTGAAAGTGTTACTGTAATATCAATCAAGTATCCAGGATGCTTTGATTTGCAGAGGAAGATAAGATAAGGTGAGTGTTCAATACACGACACAGAAGCTGATACAAAAGTTACTAAGCCGCTTTTCTTGCGTTTGTCATCATTTGTAGGCAAAATCTATAGGCCGAACTGAACACTGTGCATAAAGATCCTGACTGTAACCAGACATTTGAACTTTGGTAAGTTCTTGGATTTGAAATGTTATAAGATTTGCATTACGGCACAAGACTGAGTGTGCAGTGATGACTTTACCTGAAGATAAGGCCACTGAGGCTTATCGAAAAGGACTTGAAAGAAAGTAGCCTCCCAATATGTTAGCAAGTGGTGAGAGGCAAGAGAGTTAGTAGAGAAGTCAATTGAATAAGAAGACAAAACGAGGGTAGGACAAAATGCAACCAAATGTCCTTATTGAAAGCTTTTTAAAAGTTGTTTGATTGATTTTCTTTTTTTAAAATATTCAAAGCTCTTTGATATCTAAAGCATCAAATGATTCCTAGATGGAAAATCATTTTGCATGCGCATTTCCATACAGGAAAATGCTCCTTGTTTTCAGATTTTCTTTTAGCAGCTATATGGCTGTCGTGGAAGAAAACACTATTTGAAATCGTGTAGGGCTAATGCATTTCTATGAATTATTACAGTCTGATGTGATACTATATAGTTTTCATGCCCATTATTTATAAAAGAAAACTGCATAAAATTATTAAATATTTATTAAATAATTGAATAATGTGAAAATTATTACAATAAAAAATTTTATTAGCCGCATTTCAAATTAATATTTTATATGTAAAAGTTAAAAATTCTAAAATTTGTTGCTACATGTGATATGATGGATTCCTTGCAAAGTCCGAAAGGTTTTGAGTTTCACCATTTTTTTGAAAAGAAGATTATGACAAATAAAATAAAGTTACATTAGATGATAAGATAAGTTTACAGAAAAAGGTGTATAAGTATTATTTTAATTTTAACACTTTATCAGTTTATTTCCATAAAATAATTTGATGGAAAATAATTTACTGAAAAATATTTTTCAAATGACTTATTTTCCATTGTTTGGTTGTAATATTGAAAATTAGTTAAAAATATTAAAGTCTTAAAAATTAGTTTAAAAATATTAAAAGTCTTTATTTCAAAAGATAATAAAAAAATATTCAATAATAATAGAAATTTTATAATTTAAAAATTTTATTGTTAAATTGCCAAGAAGAACGTAAAAAAATGTTAAATTATTGAAAGGGGGTCGGCGGCCAGTGGTTGGTGACCACGCGGCGGCTGGTGGAGGTGGCCGATTGTGGTTTAAGGTGGTGGCCGATGTTGGTGTGGTAAGTGGTTAAATGATGACCAAGTGGTTAGTGACTTATTAATGATTAATAAATTTTTTAAAAACGAAAGGATTTTATAAGGGGTGTCAATTTTTCGAAAAAATGTTTTACTTATTCGTTAAAAATGGGGAAGGTTATTTTTTCTTAAAAACTACATTAATTTCATTTGATCAGGAAACTATTTTCCTAACTTATTTTCCTAAACCACTCCCAAACAACGGGAAAATTATAAAATATTTTCTAAAAATTATTTTATGGAAAATACCAAAGCCTAAATTTAGTTTTGCTTTTTTTGTTCAATTAAAAATTTTTTTGTGTGTTTAAACTCGTAAGTATTTTTTTGGATTAAATTAATTTTCGTTTTAGAGATGTTCCATTTTATTTACAGTGTTTTTGACGGAATTAAATATCTAATTTTGAAAAATCATCAGATACATTGAAGGATATGTTATCTATAAGGTATTTTATGGGTAAAAATATATTATTACTATTTATAAAAATATGAGCTAAAGGATTTATAGTTATGGACCGATTATTATTAAATTTTTCATCAATTGATTTTGTCCCATAAGCAAGCACAAGCAGTTCAAAATTTGTAAAAGTCTCCGCTCCCACAAAGCCAGACGCCAATCCGAGGATTATGCGTTTGTGTTGTTTCAATTTTAAGCTGCTGCTCGCGCGAAACAACGCCATCTTTTCAGTAATCGTCCTTGTTTGTCGCTTGTGCCTTTCTTTCAATAGGAAGTATTTCATGTTCCGCCAATTTAGGCTGGTCCTTAATACCCCTCAGCAAACACTCGTCATGTTTAGGGGTATAAACAAGTCGAGCTCAACTTGTCTGGCCTGAAATTTAAACTTGATTAGAATTTAATTCAAATCGAACTCGAATTTTAAATTAATTTAAAATTTTAAAAATCCAACTCAGAAACAATTTTTTTTTAAACTCGATTTTTGGCTTGAGATTTATACTCGAAATAAGTTTAAAAATAAATATTATACATTATATTTATTAAAAATTCAATAGGTTTAATGAGCTTTCAAATTGAATGATATGCTCGATGCAGTTTTCAAGTTGAGATATTATTAGACTCGAAGTTCGGCTAGTTTGCTGACGAATCCGGCTCAGGCTCGAACTCGAACTCAATTCGAGCCAAGCCTTTTTTGAATTTTTTCACAGTTATGTTCAAACAATGCGTGTGAACCGGCTAAAACTCATTTACACCTTCTATTAGTTTATTACACTTCAGTTTGAAATTAGATATCATTACGGCATTTGCCATGGTCATCCCTAATCACCAACTCACAAACTCTTTCATTTCGAGTTTGCCAAGGTTAAAGAAAAAATATATAAATAAACTTTAGATGAAAAAAATTAAAGTGATTATTTCAATTTTTTCTTTTCTATATATATGTGAAAAATAAAAAAATACTAAATAAAGAGGAAGAAATTTTCTGCTTTATATATATTTATATAAAGACACAATCTATAGAGTAGAAATTTAGGTACTATTAAGTTTAAACGTTTGTAAAAATAAAATACTTTTAAATATTTGGATTATCTTTTTAAATCTTTTATAATCTACTGATGCTGGACTTGCATAATAAAGGAAGTTATTGGATATTAGCAATTGAACCATTGCAACATAATGAAGCATCAATGTTTATCATTTATCCAAATGACGTTATATGGATATATCCAATTGAAACCATTGCACATACGAAGCCATCAATGATTTTATCATTTATTTCCAAATCAATTTAGTTGATAAGTTTAAATTCATGCTTTTCACATATCCTAAAATAAAACGGGAGAATGATATATTTTGAATTTTAAATCTGAAAATTCACGTCTCCACTATAAAAAGTTAGTGTATATTCAAAAGGAAAATTAACTTTGCCTTAGTTGTATAATTTTATAATTATTTATTTAATTTATCAAATCTTTCATGGAATTTTAATATTTCAATATTAATATTTACCAACTAATTTTTTACATTATCATATAAACAATTACTGAAACAAATAATATTCAATAACAACATTGATTTATTAAACAATCAGTGCATCCAAAACGGAATAAAAGAGGATGCTTCCACTGCTAACCACCCCTCCCGGTCACCGTTTAACGCCGAATGAACCGAGTCGAGATGCTACAACACTGGTTGACTGTATGATTTATTAGACATGCCTGATATCATAAATACTGAATATTTATATATATATACCGATGCCGTTACATTACTAGTGTACTGAATATTATATATACATATATTACAAAGTGTTTCAAAATGAGCATGGGCCCAACTGTGGCCTGTACATGCCATGAAAGAATAATAAAACGATACATTTCAAAATTCAGGGAGCTACCCTTGAAAGACCGTGTCTTCTACAGTGAACTTGCTGCAGTTGACGCTGTCGGCTTCTATAGACCAGTCTCAAAACCTGCGGAGTTAAACAGGTAAACTCGACTGGCTATTTACACTCAGTGGATTATTCCAATATAGGAAAGACATAATTAAGCACAACATATATGCAGGAAAGAATATGTAAAGTACCATTATAATCACACATAACATACGGCTTTCATTTCACCTTGATGATCTTCTCTTACTGTTTATTTTTTACTGTTCTGGATTATTCATAGGCAAGTTTTAAAATATATGTTATGGGCTCCATTTTAACGGTTATAGTGAAACCGAAGTCAGTGATAAGATAACGTATGAAACTGGATGGGAACTGTATGCTATAGGCCCGAACCGGGATTTCGCCTATGCCATATATTTGTCCGTTTTTTTGGGCCCCTACGGATTTGCACCGCACGGTTTAATCATATCCACTCAACGGCCTATAGCCGGAGTTTCCAAACTGTATTG